GCGCTTATCCACTACGCCACCGTATGTACCGTTGTATGTTTCATCATTATCATGAGCCCTTTTACGTCCCCACTGCAGGAACTCAGGCCTTCCTTATGGATGGTTAAGGGCCTTGACTATATACGCTGGCACAATGCGACTGCGAATTCAGTCGGGACCAATAGCTTAACTTACCTTTCGAAGCACGGAGTAGCTCGAGATACTATTTTTTTGATCACTGATCCCGTGACCGAACTAGTACCACTACGCCACCAAGCTACTCGTATGATTTATGTTGTTATATCTAAAAATCGATATTCCTGAAACACATACAGCCAGTTGCTCAATTGTCTATAAAAATTGTTGTCAATTTAAAGCGACATTACCCATACAAATTTGACTTTCATTAGAGCCTAAAGGCGTCATTAAACCTTAATGGGCGTTTGTGCAACTGGCCGCTAAACTGTTGATGTCACGTTTTAAAATTAATATACTTAACAAATGTCCGCGCAAAAAAACCGCTCCACTGTGCATTCCTTTCCGTTGATTGTTTTCGGTGCTAATTCTCCAATATCTAGAATCTGTAAACTTATTAATTTGCTCAACCATAAACAAAATACTGTTGTTGACAGTTGTCCAGAATAGCTTTTTATTTAGTAGGTAAATCAATATTGATAGGCCTAATAGGCTTGTGTCTTACAAGTGGAAATGCTGGATTCTGTTGTATGTTCGGAATATGTGAACCATTTTAACTTATAAATATTCAACAAAATAAATTTTATGACATTAATTAGCTAATTAGCTCAGTGGTTGGATTGTTTAAGTATTTTTCATTATGAATATAGGTATTCATGTACATTATTAGGGAAAAAAAATTTCTTTCTTATAAAGAAAAAGCTCGAGAAATTATATGAACAATTTCTATGAATTGTGTATCTTACCATCTTTGGATGGACTTCTGTCAATTAGGGAAAGTCTAGACTTAAATCAAACAATATTATGATTGATTACATACTTTAGCACTTTGTCATATTCGTCGTGACCCTCCAGCGGAGTCCATCCCTGCCTACACTGTGACGGTGCGTCGTACCACACCGTTCAATTTGTCCTAGGTATGCGCATCCACCTTTTTGTCTTTGATCTTTAACATCATTCCTTGTTTTATTATTTTTCGTAATTTGAAATTTTGAGTGACGCGATGTGCTCTCTCTAAATGTCAGTTTGTGAATATTCTTTCGGCAACAAAGGAACAAGGACATTTAAAAAAATATCGATTAATAAAATATCTTTAGTGATTTTCGAGTTATATTTATGAAGCGTATGTGTATTTTGCATCGTATCTTCTAAATTAACCCAAGAAAGGGTATTTTAATTTAGATTATAAATATACCAACTTACCTAGCCTAGTCAACAACAAGCACCGAATCCCACACGACGCTAAGACCATAACGAAGACCTAACTAATTACCATATATGGGTAATCTTCATTTACGAATCTCTACGATAACCGATTAAATAACCGAATATTTTTTTATTTTATTCCTTTGAGGGACCAGTAAATGTATACAAAGTATATATTATTTTAAATGTACTCTTTGCCTTTAATTTGATATACACATATTGTTATAATTGCTCTCATTTTTGACCTCATACATTCGCGATATTGGCTATAAAATAAAAATATATTATAGTCAGTGTTACTCTGAATGAAATAAGGTTTCTAATGATACCCTATTTATATCCGTTTAGTCTTGCAAACATTTTTGGTTGGTTTGGATACTCCCATACATTAACCCTAAACACAATATACTCCTTTTATGGGCAGTCGTGTCAAAATGTATGATGAGTCATGTAGATAATATTTGTAGGCAATTTTATTTGTGCGTAATAAAAAAACAAGTTAATTTCTTTAAATAAATCTTTTTTAAAGATAATTTTGGTAGATACTGTTTTACTCAATGTGTCGTCCGTAGTGTCTTATCTGAAACAGCTTGTAAAAACATTATTCCAGTTTGGTGCCACAGAGCTTATTAAACTTATTAAAAAACGAAAATTGGAAACGTTCTCAGGAAAGGATAAACATTTGTTTTGTGTAAACGAAATCAGATTTTTTTTCATTGTAACTTAAAATTTGGCTTTATTTATCAATAAACCGATAAAGAAAATTAAGGAACATTTATTAAAAACTTAATATTTTCCAAAATATAGAACATAGTACATTGACAGAAGTTTAACATAAAATGAAATTCATACATTTTTGAACTTTTGCGTTGCATTCTATTAGATTGTTTGAAACGGGTTACACGATAGATTGATAAGTTAGGTTTACGTTGGGAAATATAGGTAGGTGAAAAACCTAACTGTCAATCTATCGCGTTAATACCCGTTTCATACAATCTAATATAATGAAATACTCTTTTAATGGTTTTATTAGTTCCGTACCCAAAGGATAAGACGGAAACTCTATTACTAAGACAACGCTGTCTGTCACCTGTCTGTGTCACTTTCTGTAAATGTTAAGACAGTTGAAATTTTCACAGAAGATGTAGTACTGTTGCCATTTTAACCACAAATACAAAAAACCAAAATAAGGGGGCTCCCATACAACATTTTTTTTGCTGTCAAAACATGCTGTATCTCACGAAATATTATAGTTAGACAATTGAGATTTTCACAGATGTAGTATTTCCGTTGCCGCTATAAAAACAAATACTAAAAAATATAATAAAATAAATATTTAAGGGAACTCCTGTACAAGAAACATGATTTTTTTGCTCGTTTTCGGTACGGAAGGTATCGTGCGCGAGTCCAACTCGCTTGTGGCCGGTTTTTTACTCTTCTTGTAACACTTTGAGAGCTAACATAGTTTTTTCTAAATGACTAAGAATTTGCTCAACGGTTTATCTAAGATGACTATATCCTTACACATTGTTATTATACGCCATTATCTAATCAGATTTCTCATCTTATAAGTAGGTACACACACTTCGCTAAATACTGATAGTCCATCTATTTCCCGTGAAGTTTTTTCTCCAGCGCCAAATTAACAACTTCGCATGGTATTTGCAAATAATGCGTAGTTTATCATGAATTAAATGTAGACCTAAAATAAATGTAATTATTATAGCGATAGAAATAAAACGGAATTCAGAACAATAAACATTTCCCAGTCATTTAGTAGCAGTAGATATCTACGTAATTGGAATATTTATGGCACAAAATGGTTTAACGTCCAATATTACTTGTTTTATGAAAACAAATAAATCGTGATATTAATAAATAGCTGAAACAATATCTTTGCTTTATTAATAACTAGCTTTCCGCCAGCGGCTTTGCCCGCGTGGTCCTGTATTATACATAAAAATCTTCAATAGGAAGATTCTATCTTATCTATGAAAAAAAAAACGCTTCAAAATCCGTTGCGTAGTTTTAAAGATTTAAACATGTTATTAAGCATACGCATTAAGCATAGCGAGTAGCTCGGTGGCTGGCCCACGCTGGCCCAAGCGTGGAGGATCATGGCCCATCCTCCTTAACCATCCATAAGGAAGGCCTGAGCCCCTGCAGTGGGGACGTAAAAAGGGCTGATGATGATGATGATGATTAAGCATACAATAGGGATATAGGAACAGAGAAAGTGACTTTGTTTTATACTATGTAGTGATTAAATTTGAGAAATACTATTTCGAAGACTGAAATAATAATATATAATATGGTGGTAATTCTAGGCAAAGTTATCTTTTTGTACAGTTAAAATTAACAATTTACAATAGCATGATTGCAAGAAATTTAATATAGTGGGTATAATGAAATACCATTCTGACTAGCATAATGGACCATTTACACGAGTCCAATTCGAGGCAATCCAGTAATATTAGAAATCGTTCTATTTGATATTGCTGGATCGAAGATTGTCGGGCAAGCTTATTGGAGTGTCTCGGGTACTGGATTGTAAATGATGGACCATTTAAGTCTTTGACAAGCGAAAGCAAAGACGAGAGATCAAGAAAACATTACCATATAAACCTCCACAGCAATGCCACGAGACTATATGCAATGTGAACCAACCACACTGTTCGCACATTGTAATGAATATTGCTAAATCAAATAAGTTTCTGCTTAATGTGAAAAGTTTATCCACATCACATTAAACTTTCGCAGGTTGTTGAAATACTGAACGACCTCTACACGTGTTGCGACTCCATCATTTCCTACTACAATGTTTACAAGGTATTGTTTTACTTTATATATTTAACGTTTTCCCAGTAGTGCACAGAGGGCGGTCCGCCCCGAGTCCGGTCCTGGGGGCCTCCAAATGGGCTGCAGCAATTCGCCAAAATAACATAATAAAGTTAAAAATGTACGCGCCTGGGGGTATAAAATCAATATCATGTTTTACTAATATAAATATAAAAATAAAGGTTGAGATTTTTTCCTTTAGGTAAGAGGAATCACGGACTGAGCAAAAACATATTTAATCCTAGTTTGGGGGTCAGGGACTCACAATAGTTTAAGTGCAAATTGTTACCAAAATGCCCGATTATTAATTTATGTATAAAAACATGTTTTGTTTTGGTTCGAATAGAGAATAATTATTATTATTAGACATACAAATATTTACCTAAATAATGACGCGCTCATCTTAAAGGGATTACAGGGGATTAATTTTATTTGAAGGGAGAACAAACAGCTACGTTATGAAATGATGATAATATTATTATCCCTTAGCATTGTATGAGGAAAATATTTAATAATTAATTGGGTGGATTACGACATATAATTTCACGTTTTATTTTGAGATATAAAAATATGTTTTCTCGCCTCTTTATTCTATTGATGACGCTGTTTGTGTAATCCAATTTTAAATCATAACTGGAAAGTATTTTCAATGTTATTTTTTTGTGTAGGTAAATAACTATTTTATATTTCTTCTCAGTAGACTTTGGTTTGGACTAGTAATCATTAGAAAACAAAAATAATAATTGCAAAACCAATATAAATATGATTTGATGTTCCTCCAGGTGGAAACTATAGGTGATGCCTATATGGTCGTAGGAGGTTTGCCAGAACGCTGTTCCCGGCATGCAGCCGAAGTGGCGTCTCTGGCACTGCATGTATTGGATGCTGTGCCAAAGATACGGATGAGACATATGCCTGCTGCTAGACTACATATTAGGATAGGTGAGTTGATGAAATTGAAGACATATTTAAATCTATCTATAGTTTCGCGTCGTTTTCACTGTGGGTTAGGCAGATACCGCATCCTTCCATTTTCCAAAAAAAAATAACAAACTTAAAAAAAATCGATCGAGTAAACAAGTTTGTGAATCGCCTAAGTAGTAGTAAGTTTTAATTATAACATTATATAACATATCTAAGGTAATTATTATGTTGATAATAAAAATAGTTTATTGAATCGACCGGCAATCGAATCCGAAACCTCGGGGATGGCGACAACTTTAAAATAGCTGGCAAGCCGCTCTGCTATGCAGGTCGTCACACTTTGGAGTTGTACTTATAAGTTATGGTTCATTCTCTTTATTATTACAAGGGAAAGGCCTATGACCAAGCATAAAGTACGGAATATTATCCTAAACTGATATTTATACTACGTATATGCTAATGATGTCTGTCAATAAGGAAGAATATGTAAACATACATAAATTATACTAGTAATTGACCGACAATTAAGTTGTTTGATTTATCATTCCTCGTCGCTAGCAGCCAAATAGGTGGCCCCGAACTCCTGGCTCCGAGCCAAACTGTTAAGTCATTCATGTTGTTTGTCAAAGCATTACGATAGGTATATTAAACGCTCGATCGATCGCGTTATAAACATTTCAGCCCTGTAAGGAAATATGTATGAGCACAAATTATCGATTTTATATAAGAAACTGTAATTAGGATTCTAGAATGTTTTATTCAATTCGGTCGCTCCTTATCGGTACATCTAACCCAGGCCTGGGCAAATAGCGGCCAGCGGGCCGAATCCAGCCCGCGGTAGAATTTTGTCTCGCCCCTGAAGCATTGTATATATTATTATAAAAAACACAAATATTAGTTTTTGTCTAACATAAATGGTGCATAAATTTTTTTGGATAAAATATTAAGCAATACTTATACACATTATCAGGGCTGGTGTGCAAGAAATAATGAAACTAAAACTGATGTATTTGCTTAACATATTTTTCAATTCGAAGAGTGAACAAATTTTCTCAAAAGTTATAAAAAAACAGCGACTTTTTGTCCGTTGTAATTTATTGTTGCAATTCCAAGTAACGTTTGATCGACTTGCTTACTATATGAAAAAAACTGTTTGGCAAAAAAAAAAAACAAAATATTGGACCACCCCTGATCTAACCTCTAAGAGAATAATGAAATTATTCAGGAAGTCTACATTATGGTGTTCACGTTCTATGTCAGACAATGGAGGCAAACGATACGAATTGTCTTTACACCTTACAAATGAATCACAAATCGTATTCGGTTGTAATAATAATAATACATCTTGGTGAATGCATATACTTTCATCAGGAATCCATAGTGGACAATGCGCTGCTGGAGTGGTGGGTGTGAAAATGCCTCGGTACTGCCTGTTCGGGGATACAGTGAACACAGCTGCGCGCATGGAGTCAAGTGGAGAGCCACAGAGGATACACATCAGCAACGACACTTACAAGCTGTTGAAACAGCATGGGGGATATCGATTCAAGGAGAGAGGCATCATCAATATAAAAGTGAGATCCTAATATATTAACCAATCGGTGGAGCTAAGCTTTACTGTGCTAATTATTAAGATCCTGAGCATATGAGAATCGCCTCTGTAAGATTTTTAGTATACCATAAGAATTCTCTTCTTCCTTTTGGTTCCATTCACAGAATAAGACTGTACATACCTGCAGTGGAGACTTACTAGGCTTATAACAATGTGATGATATTATCATAATAAAAATTCTTCAAAATCTAATTCGGGAACTTGAGTTTAAAAATAATATTTTTCTTTATCAGGGCAAAGGAGAAATGAAAACATGGTGGCTTGTAGGTGAAGACCATGAAAGACGAAACTGCGCGTATAGATCTCGTGAGTATTTTATATTAATTAAAATCGGTTAAGCCAGTCCAAAAAGGATCGTTAGTCTAGAAGGATTATCATAATCATATATTTCAGGAGCCAGCAGCGACAGAATGAGCAACGGCGAAGAACCATGGTGGAGTCCTCAAAGGTCGATAATGAATATTCGAGAAAGAGCTCGTCTCTCTTGTGGCGGATCTTTAGGTCCAGGCTCGGCACTGTCCTCGCCTGGTCCACCAGCATGCGCCTGCTTCGTCCCACCGAGAGATCATCACTCAGCCCCTGTCGTTTCTTTCTGCGACGACTGACGCTAACCGTCAGACCACACTCTTCAATACTTCTGGATAAAAGACGAACGAGACTGTCTGCTCACAGTCGGCATAGACAATTGGTACACGAAACAGGTTCAACCAACTAATGTCAACACAGATTTTATGTACAAGGAATATATTGGTAATTCTTATAAGATTATTTATGAGTGTGCGGTTACTAAAGATGTAGAGGATGATGTGGGGAAAAGAGCAAGGAATTTGGCCGCTTTGCAGAGGCTTTATTCGGCCGATTATGATTCATGGCTGTAATAGTCTAGGGGCTGTTCATAGAATATCTACGAGTCAGTTGTTCCACGCTATGCATGCTGAATAGCCTTTCCTATCTTCTTTCATAGAATTCATTAAAATCAAAATTAATCGAGAAACGAATCCGTCCATTAAAAAAATATGCAAAGTGCGGCTCATTTTTTTACAAACATTATTTCGGCTTTTTTGAGATATTTTATGGACAGGGCCTTTTTATTACACAATAATTAATACGAGGGAATTTTACAATAATTATTGTTATTCGGCGTTAACAAAAATCAAAATTAACTCCTTTTTAAACTCTTAAATTAAAATAGAACCTTAATTCTTATACTTACCTAGTTTGTACCTACTCTCAAATTTATATATTGTACCTAACTTTTTAGTTTTATTATAAAACGAGAACTAACTTCAGTACCAGGCTTAAACCATCAACCGACCAAATTAAATAAACACGTCTCAATTAGACGTTTTCTTTTCAGTTGTTGTCAATTTTATTTAGGCGTCTACTAACTTTAGTTCTCGTTTTATACTAGATGTTTTAGATACTATAAACAAAGTGTAAGTCCATTATGATTTTATATGGACTTAGAATAGAAGGTAAGATAAATTTTAAGCTTTAAAGATGGTACCTTCTAGAAAGTAAAGGACCAACATGAAATGAATGAAGTTAATTTGGATAAGTCTAAACGGATCATTAACATTTTGAGAGTTAAGTAAATTAAATGTATAAGCATAATTTTTAATTTTTCATAAAGAAAATATTAAAATTTAATACTAATATTTTCTTTATGAAACTTAGTAAAAGACAATTATTAATGTATTTTTTATAAATTTTTGCATCAATAATACATCGAACTAACATTATTTACTTAATAATAGTAGTAAAAAATACAAAAACACTAAATTAAAAAAGAAAATACATTGTTACACGAAGGACTAAAATTAAATGACCCCATTATTTACTAGGAATAAATATGTAGAAACCGAGTTATAACAGGTTTCAAACAAATATCATTGCTTTTAAAGCGCCTTGTATTACACAGTATCTAGATATATTTCAATTCGATTGTGACAAACATCGTACAGGTTCCCTTTTCTTCCTCTTCGATTAAAAAACTGGGGTCAATATATATAACATTATAACTTTTGTAAAATCATTTACGATCACCACTTTGAATTTAAATTAATCGATATACAAAAATTATAAAGTTTTCACACCAATGCTTCTTTTTCAGTTTTTTATCTATTTCATTTAAATTTCTCCAACGCAATGCACGCACTTTCACCGAGAATGCCGCTTGTTCCATTTTCAAATACGAAATGTTTTTTACTCAAGTATTCTATAGTCTCGTTGGCCATAGACAAAGAAAAAGCCCCCGATAAAGGACTTTTTGATCGCGCGTTCTGCAAACTACTGTTTACCTGGTATTTACCCAACTGACGTGCTTAATGCCGGCTAAGTATATCTAATATCTTTGACGGCTTATGACGTCATTATTTATATATATTGTTGTGATTACAATAGATACTAATATCAGGATAATCAGGATTATTTCAGTATGGCAGTATTTTAAAGATAGGTATTACAGATATTACTTAAGATCCATTATTTTGAAGTGCTCTAAGGTCAAGTTTATAACTTTCATAAAAAAGATAAATCTAAAAGCCTTTTGTCGTAAAAACAACTCTGTCATCACATTAAATACACTCATAAAAAAATATTATTCCTTTTATTATTTTTCACAATTCCGTTTTTAGTTACTAGCTAAACTCGGCCACACCCGTAGTTTTTTTAACGTAAGGATAATGGATTCTTTATTTGGGATTTTCCTTAGCAAATCTACCCAGTGGTCAAGTCCACTTCATAAGCCAAAAAGTGAGACGCCCACTTAATATCCTTCTATACTTATACCATTACGGTGGGATGTGGTGCGAGTTACGTACGTAAAAATAAACTTCATACAGATGCCAGTTACTTCGAATTAAACGCAAGTTTAATGTTCTTATTTTCATTGAATTTGAAGCTACCCCGTAAGTTTTGTGCCTAATTGTGAACGCATACTTAACAATTAGACACAAAAGAGGCCAACGAAACAAGTTTTCTTTACACCTTAAAAATTGATGATAAGTGACGCGTATCTACACGTGTGTGAAGTTCTTGTTTTTATACAAAAAAAAAAACAAAAATCCTCTTCATTCGCCTTCTTTAGGCAGCGCGCTCCATTCTGATACATTCGTTTTCCATGTTCGATTACTTTAACAGGAATTCAGATTCGCGAAAAGTGTAGTGACATGAACTCTATCGTTTCGATTTCAATTTATTTCCGCCAGCGGCTTCGCCCGCGATGTCTTTTATTATACATTCGCCCGCGTGATCTTGTATTATACATAAAAACCTTCTTTTTGAATCACCCTATCTATTAAAAAATCCGTTGCGTAGTTTTAAATATTTAAGTATACATAGGGATATATGGACAGAGAAAGCGACTTTGTTTTATACTATGTAGTGATTTAACTGCCCTTTCCAGTCACGGCCCTTTTGGTCATAGCGCCCCTGACTCGAAGAATTATATTTTGTCAATTAATAAAAGTCAAGATTGGTATAAAATAAATGTATGTGTTGGTAAGTAATGTATAAATTATCAACTAAAAAAAAACGCCGAAAAGTAAGACTTGATTTTTACGACAATGAAAAAGATCAAATTTCGAAATCAAATCATCGAAAAAATAAGTATTAAAACTTTAGGAAGAAAATCTCCCCTCTAGATTCTCCCTAGAATAAAAAGAACAATCTGGGACAACCCCATTATAATAAAAAAAGGACAACGACAATAATTTTATTGTCACATTCGTGTTAATTCTGTAAACCTCTTAAGACTAAAGTATATAAAAAACTAAAACTATATAAACTAAATAATAAATCAAAATCTTCATTTTCCATTGTGTTAATAACCAAGATACCAGAAGTATACTTATTTTATTATACTTACTGCTTATTCAGGAGTGTAATTATATTCCATCGTTTATATGTAAGTATAAATAAATACAAACAGATTTTTTTTGTTTAGTGTAGAGATAATTTTCCTTTTGTATCACTCTAACACGAAATATCTCTTTAATAAGTCTATATTAAGGAACAAGGAAAAACAAGTTGTATATTATGAAATTGTAAATGATAAATACAATTGAATTTGTTCAGAACAAATAATAAATTTTAATTTGATATAGTGATTACAAGATGACATCATAATTGGCGGGAAACGAAAATGAAAATTAGCCATTAATTTACATTTGTTAATTTCTAATCTAATCTCCGCAATTGATTTTAAACTCGGGCAGAATGCATTATGTTTAAAATTAAATAGAGAAATTTGTTAGTTTTGTTTAATCTGTAAAGGGTTTAGCCGGATACGTATGACGAGTCGGCCCCCAAATGGGAATCGATATTGAAACTTATGTTTTAATATCGACTTGATGTTCAAACACGATTTATGTACTTTTCGCGACCGACTTCCGCTTTGACCTTGAGATAGAGAGCAAAATATCCGTATGCTTGACTATTACTGAATGTGATATATCTCTGAAGCTAATTAAGATAAAGAAGTGAAACTAACGCGAGGTGTTAGGTTACATTACAGAGAATATCACATATATTTTTTTATAATTTTTAGAATAAAAAAATACATTAAAAAAATAAAAAATAAAAAAATCATGTTTTTTTTTCTGAGTTCTCTGTGACTTACAATCACGAAATTAATATATGTTATGGTCCTTTGTGTGCTCTATTACCCATAAAAATTGCGTGAAAAAAAAGTTGGTGCAACACAACGAAAAAAAATTATATGTGATTTCTGTCTTATGGTATACCCCTGTATTATAAGGTTTTCACATTACATCATTGTTTTTTTTTTCGAAATTTCACATCAGCTTGTTTTAAAACATAAGTAACTAGTCTTAAGAGATGGGATAATAGTTAAAAAAGAAATGAAAAAAAAAACAGCCAGTGTTTAATACTCATTATTATTACTTTTTCGTATCTATCAAAATACAAGAAACAAAATATTAATCATCGTCACTGTTGTAATTAATTACAATCGGAACACTTTGAGTCGCAAATAACTTAGTTAGGACCTCAGCAGGACGTACGATTTTGGACAAATATCATCGATATGATAGATAATAAATAATAGCTGCTATATGAGAACAGCATCCCACTGTACGTTTGCCATTGGGGCAATCACAGCAATAACGAAGAATACTATTGTAGTCATTACCTTCGGAAATATAGTGAATGTAAATTCGATAGACATTTCTATTTATATGTCTTGATTTTACTTCTGCTTTGATGATATTAGGTGCTGATTTCACATATTGTACTGAGAGATTATTTTGATCGTCCATTATTTCGGCCAATTAAATGCTGCACATTTAGAAGTAGAAGCTTTTTTGTTAATATATGGGATAAGTGGACACTTCTTACAAAAAATATCATTAACTATTACGATTTTATTCAAACAGTCACTAAACACTTTAGCTTCTTCTTCATTCTTTATAATTTTTTATAACCTCCTGGTTATCTTGGTTATCCTGGTCTCCTGGAATCTTACACAGGTACTTGTTACAATTTTTACACTTTCTCGACATTATTACTTAATAATGATTTGGTTCGATAGTTAATAATTTCAAAATGCTGATACAAAATACCTATGACAGAATTTGAGTCCCAAACTGCCTTCTTGTGTAATACAAATGACTGCTACTTTAGCTAAACAAACGATGCAGTAAACAGCTCGATAACAAGTTCGAACTTGTTTGTTTATACACTCACACTACAAGGCGCGAATCACATATAATTTTTTTCCGTTGTGTTGCACCAACTTTTTTTTCACGCAATTTTTATGGGTGATAGAGCATACAAAGGAGCATAACATATATTAATTTCGTGATTGTAAGTCACAGAGAAGTCAGAAAAAAAAACATGATATTTTTTATTTTTATTTTTTTAATGTAATTTTTTATTCTAAAAATTATAAAAAAATATATGTGATATACTCTGTAATGTAACCTAACACCTCGCGTTAGTTTCACTTCTTTATCTTAATTAGCTTCAGAGATATATCACATTCAGTAATAGTCAAGCATACGGATATTTTGCTCTCTATCTCAAGGTCAAAGCGGAAGTCGGTCGCGAAAAGTACATAAATCGTGTTTGAACATCAAGTTTATATTAAAACATAAGTTTCGATATCGATTCCCATTTGGGGGCCGACTCGTCATACGTATCCGGCTAAACCCTTTGTTGGTAATGAATTTTTTTAAATTAATTCGAAGTTATTTTACGTATGCTACGAATTGATACTGAAGTATGATGAATGAGGAACTGACATAGATATTTAGATGTAACTTCTACTTGTAGAAATAGGTTCGTAATCTGAAAACCATGATTGGCAATGCGTGACAATAGTTTCATTCGGCAGTCAATACAGTATGCCAGTGTTTGATTCCTTTTTCATTAATGGTTCGTGATACAATTATAACTATAAAAATTCGTTAACCAGCATTATGTATTCAAAATGCATATGAATCATCAGTTTTCCGTTAAGGCGTTTTGTAGATCAGACTCCTGAATTTGGACATATCTTTGAAAAATTGACAAATTATATTATTAGCGCTATTGTCATATTAATGGAATCTTAAGAACTAAATTGATCAAATAGATTATATCAACATATATACCACTGAAGAAACTCATTTTTGACTGACTGTCCCATTTGTAGGTGGGATTAGAAATTCATTAGATTTTATCTGATATACATAAAGATAATACATTATATAATTAAATATTAAAAATGGTGTCTATAACCCCATGTATTTTAAGACAATGTTAAATTATTAAATCATAAGTTACATGGTGATATTATTTACGTGTTAGATATATTTTATTTATGATCATATTCTGCTTGATATCAATGTTTAAAAAATAACATAACATATGATCAATCACTTATTTTATAAAATAATTTTTTAAATATAAATCTAGAATATTAAAAAGTTAATGAATGTAGAATTTTATATGGAAGAAAAACTATTTTTCAGCATGTCATTGAATTTTACATTGATATTTACCATAAAACTACTTTAAAAGTTAATCACTTATTGTTGATGGTAACAAGTACTCTAAAATATTTACCAGCTCAGATGGAAGAACATTTGTCGAGACATTGAGGTGTTTTTATTTTAAATACCACCTAGTATGTGCATGAGATAATTTTTTAAAAGTATTTTTAAGATAAAAAACCATTGACCTGTAAAATAAATTGAAATAATTAAGCGCCAGCTTTGAATTTATAATGAATTGTGAGCTAACAAGTGGCTAACAACAATATTTATTGTAATTACTTGCTGTTGATTGTTGGAATAAATAAATGCATTTAATATATGAATAGTTTTTATTATAAATTTCATTTTTTTTAACATCACAGATTACTCACATTCCAAGATGAGTAGCTAAAGCCTCAATATTATCGAGTATCGGAGACAACAACCGGCATGCAAACTACTTTTATATAAAACATGGGAGTTTATAAAACATTACTATTATACGATAATAAATTAACTTTTAATTCATTAACTTCCATAAGGTAATCCATTACTTAGATTCAGATAAGGTTTAGAGAGTAATCTGGGCCTTGTGATTGCTACTATGGCATCTAAGCCATTTTGTAGATTGAAAATAAAACCTTCATATTAGTAGATATGAGTAACTTGTTCCTCACTACAATAAAATCTAAATAATCTGTCACAACAAAACACACCCATCGATTACTTTTTCAATCGTAATCTGAGCTCCATCTCCAAATATGCTTTCATTGAGGGATCATCAACCATCTTGAGTACTTTATCTGTGATTTCAGGACCAGCATCTTGCATTTTATTTGCTAATGCTTCAGCCCACACAATGAAAACACAATTTGCACAACCTGTACGGCAACATGCTGTCGGTGGATCATCTATTGATGCCTAAAATGTAAATTAAGATCGTTACAAAAAAAATTGAAAAACATTAATAATGATATCAACATCGAGATGTAAGTAATGTCTCTGATAAAGGGTTCTTGTGTGTCTAGTATATTTTAAATGAGTAAAAATAAGTTATCCACTATTTTCTTCTTACTTCTTTAGCTATTTTTTCAAGTTCTTTCTCCTTTTCTTCTTCTGTAGCTGCTGGTTGACATCGGCCACGTTTTATTTGGTTTTTTATTTCATTTAATGAGGCATGCCTTATAAAAGGTGATTTAAATTTCTGAAATTTTAACAAAATTAAATTAACAAACATATTGTAGTTTATATAAACTATATTTGAAATACTCACATACATTGCAACAAAGATTTCATGATAAACTTCATTCACTAGTAATTATTATATTTTATTTATAAACAAGATTAATAATTAAATTATGTTCATACATTCATTTAAATTATCAACACACTAGAAATTATTATTACGTTTTTTTTTATTTCATGGCCACTATAAGTTCTTAAAATATAGCTTGATCTCTGTGACAGCTGTCACTAGAGCTGTGACACTTACGATATAATCCGTTTTGTCGATAGAACTCTTTATATTTTAAAAACTGATTTTAGATGATTGAAAATAATCAATGAAGATATTATTAACTTTTAATTATTTATTTATTTACAATCGGACTATGAAGATAAAAGAGAATAATGGATCTAGGTTTAAAAACATTCATTCTCATAGGAGGTAAATTTACAATTAGATAAACAATATTTTTGAAAAAGTAACATTTCTCTTTAATGTGTACAATAAAAATATTGTAATATAAGTCCCTTAAACTGATAATTCACTGGAACCTTTTCTAAATAACACCCGGTTGACGTTATTTTAAAAATAGAAACTATAGATAGCACAAAATGCATAAGATAAATTATGTCACACTTACGCCGTCAAAATGGCCACCAGGTGCATTAGCAATTTGTGGGGATTATACTAAATATAATATTACAATGTGCACTTATATCTGAACAGTACAATTTAAAAAGTAAATCAAGATGAATTACATTTAAATTAAACAAAAACTGTAAATTGATTGTATTTATTGATCGAAAAGAGCACATCTAAGGTCATCATCGTCATCATCATAATCATCATTATACTCCGAATCGCTAGAGCAATCTTGTAGATCGATAATGAATTGTTGCTTACAGATTGAATCGAAATTGCAATCACGATCCCAATCCTCTTCTACCTTTTTTTTTATTTTAGCAACAACATATTCTTCCAGTCGTTTGGTGTCACATGTTCACAGGCATTATTTAATAATGTGAGCATCTTATTTGCAGTGAAAGGCGGAGTTGTGTTGTGTCTAGCTGCGTGACCTGAAAATTATAATGAAATATTTACGATTTTAACCAAAATATTGGTATGACTATGTAAACTTGTATATTGACTATGCGTCAATAACATTGAAATAAGAAACAGACTACAATATTCAAATAAAAAAAATCAACAAACCTTTGTCTTGAGCCCAGATCAATTCGATCGCATAATATTGGCAATGATACGGTGGCAATCGGATTACAGTATGTCCCACTGCTTTAGCGATCTCATCCAATACGTATACAGGAGTGCGAGGTTTGTGAATATTCACCAATCGGAGCAATTCTTTTTTTAATAGTGTTTCGTTGACCACCACTCCTTTGTTTTGCAGCCGTGAAATAATTTCGTTCTTTCGATTATTGCTTATCGGAGCCTTATCTCTTTGCACCGAATGGTATGAAGTGTTGTCCATTACGATAGTGTGTGGTTCCTTAAAGTTATTTAAAAGGATTAGAAACCACTCTCTAAATTTCTCGAAATTCATTTCTTCATGACCGTGGAAGAGCCACGCTTCGGCATAAATGGGCCGGCTCGACCGGAGTGATACCACGGCCTCACAGAAAACCGACGTGAAGCAACGCTTGCGTTGTGTTTCGTCGTGTGAGTGAGGGTACCGGAGGCCCAACCCCTCCCTATTCCCTTCCCTCTACCCCTCAACCCTTCCCTTATAGGCCGGCAGCGCGCTTGTAGCCCCTCCGGTGTTGCAGGTGTCCATGGGCGACGGTTATCATTTACCATCAGGTGATCCGTCTGCTCGTCTGCCCCCTAACCTATAAAAAAATCTGTGGTTTTACGGATTTGAACGCCAATAAACAATTTGGTACAAAACCGGTTGACGTTCAAGCATGTACAATTATCAGTCGTTGTCCCTTGCCTTCAGGGACCTTCATGGTCGTCTGATAATTTTTTCCACGATATATCGGCTTTCGATATTTATTTTCAGATATCAAATTCGTATCATAATTGATATATTTTTTAAAGTTCTGCTGTCTGCTCATACGTCTCATCATTCTTCTTCTTCTTTTTTAATTAATGGCTTATCTGCGCATTTCGCACAATTCTGCCAATTTCAAGTAAATAAATTAATTTTTACATGTAAAATGAAAATGAAATTAATAAAAGATGGCGATGATCACCATGTATTTCTTATGAGTTTAGAAATTACAGACTTTTACCTTATCTTTTTTTTTTCTTTATGACAATGACACTGCTTGTTGGTTTGGTTGGTATCAGTGAGAGACATTTTTTTTCCATTTTCCAATCATAGAGGAAACTAAGTGTGTGTTGCCAGTGATGACCTATGGCACTGAAACGTGGTCCTTAACTGCTGGCCTCTTAGAGAAGCTCAGAGTCGCTCAGCGAGGCATGGAGAGAGCTATGTTAGGGGTTTCTTTGTGCGATAGGATCCGAAACGTGGATATTCGCCAAAGAACTAGAGTGACCGACATAGCTTGCAAAGTTTGTAAGCTGAAGTGGCAGTGGGCAGGCCACATCGCTCGACGAACCGGTAACCGATGGGGACGAAAGTTTCTCGAGTGGAGACCACGAACCGAAAGACACAGCGTGGGTCGACCCCCGACTAGATGGACGGACAACATCGTCCGAGTCGCGGGCGGCCGCTGGATGCAGCTGGCGCAATGTCGTCCGTCGTGGCGTTCAAAGGGGGAGGCCTATGTTCAGCAGTGGACGTCTTCCGGCTGATGATGATGATGTTGAGAGGAAACTCCATTTAATACCACAGATTAACAATATGCCGCTAGCTAATTCAATACAACTTTTAACGACTTTCGGTTATTGACGTTATTGCTGAAATAATGTCTATGATATTTTCTTTCTGACGTAATAAAAACGAATAAGGAAGTAAGTATTATAAGAAACAAAAGCACTATAAAAGCACCTCACTAGATGGCAACTCTAGCAAAAGCTTAATTTTGCAGGAAACGAATATTAAGTGTATAATCTATGGGTACGATACTCTCAAATGAGGAAATATTAAAAAAAAACATTCGTTCCCGAAATCAAACTAGATGTCGCTACAGTACGTTCTTGATTTCTCCATGACAACCTTTGAGGTTTTCTTTTATGTACAAAAGTAAATTAGTTTTCAAAACTCAATAAACAACTCAAATTCTATTTGTACTTTTTCGTATTGTATTGTACATATATCTAAGTGTCGAACTTTTCACAGTTGATATACTATTAGCATAGGTTAAAACGTGAACAGTCGCCATCTAGTGCAGGTGCTTTTTTAATGCTTTCATTTTTTTAAATACTTCCTTATTATTCATCTATATCGATCTATATATATAAAAATTTGTTATATAAAAATCGTTTGACATCTAGGTTGCAAATACACCCAATAGATGGCGCTGTATTCTAGATGGCGTTTATTCTAAAGTAATCTGCGGTAACACCCAATAGATGGCGCTGTGTTTTACATGGCATTTATTCTAAAGTAATCTGAGGTAACATTTCTTTCAAAGAATTTTGCGTAGATTACGTTTTCGATTAAGTTTTGTGTAAACTTCAGAACTGTTTTGTTTTTCATCTTTATTTCAAATTGCATTGAATTGGATTAATATCTCTAAAGTTTCAAAGATAACGTGCTGAAACATATTGGACATTCGTTGGTATTTTGTTGTACTATCTTCGAACTTAAACATCAAGGTAATTTCATCATCAGCTCAAAAAACAAAAGCGTTTTTGGAAAATATGATGCCCAAAGTAACTATATCACGCGGACGAAGTCGCGGGCAAAAGCTAGTAGACTATAATTGAATATCAAACAGATCAAACGTATAATGATTTAATGCCTACTTTTACCTAAATTACTTCGATAAACATTATTATTTCTCCTCGTCTTTAGTGTATATACTTTTGTCCGTGTATAAATAATGAAACTATTCAAGCGATAAATAAACTTGTCACTAACACGAGGGCTTCGATCGAAATCGGAATCGAAATATTTTTTAACTACGGAGTTAGGTTTAAATGCTTCGGTATGAAAGTAACTGAAGTATACTAATCTGGCAGTATCTATGTTAGTTAACCTACGTATCTTCATTACGGCATATGCTGCAACTTATTCGACAATTTATCAATATGTGATGTGATCTTTTTTTCAATATTAAACAATGCAATCATGAACTTACTTAGATAATATAAAAATTGATTTCATACTACATGGATTTTTGTTATAAATTTTTAATAAATAATACTGTAACACCATGGATCTTTTCATGTTTTCAAAAATTGATCTTTTTTGAGTTTGTATCTTATGGGCTAGTGTATTTTTGTAGCTAAAGGTTTTTAAATCACCTTGATCTTCATAGGAGGTTCGTTCTTCCTACAGAAGGTTCACTTTTAGGTTTCTCTGCATATATAACTCGATTTTGACAAATTTGTGGATTAGATCCCGCTTGCACAACTACGACCAATTGTTATCGTGACATAGCTTTTTAAATGTTTTTAATTAATAATTTTAACGGATTCAAAATTCTCTATACGATAATTTTTTTAATACAGGAAGTATTAAAAAAATATTGAATCCGATATTCAGGAATTCAAAACGGTATATTATCGTGTAGAACGTCGGAATACCCCAACCTCTAGCACCTATATTACTCCTCTATGATCGGAAGTCATTCTTGTTACTAGTTATCAATAAGCATAGAGTAAGGTAGAGTGGAAATATTTTCTATGGTTATATAAATATCATGCAATCTGAAGTTGACATCAAAAACATCATGTTGTCTTTTTTTAACTAATAAGAAGTTTCTTTAGTAAACAAAGATAACACTAGTGTGACAGTTCAAAGTTTTTTACGTGACGTCATGAGATATAGCTATCGTACCACCTGTCAGCCATTTGCAAATTTGCTTTGCGTATTCTCGGAAGTAGTTCAGCTGTCAGTGTTATAAGTTTTGTGGTTATTTTCATTTATAACTTTAATTTATATAACTTTCATGGCAGAAAATTGTAAATTATTTATGCAAAACAATGCCTAGGTGCTGTATAATTGGTTGTGCGTCATCAATATCCCGCAAACCGAGCAATATTACGTTTCACCGGTAAGTTAAACACTTTCTTGGAATAACAGTATTTAAAACGTAAGTAAGTTATTCTGAAAATGATTGCGTGTATAAATCGATACATATCGTATTTTGGCGTGTTCTATTTATGCTATATTGCTCTTTTCGTTTATATTTTTATAATATTTCGGTCCGTAAATAATATTGTTTACATGGCTAGTGTCGTTACTTTAACATATGGTTTATATCGATAATTTTAATATTTAAAAATATATTAATTATTTTAGACTACCAAAAGATGAAACAAAAGAGGAAAATGGCCGAGTTACATAGAAGCAGAAAATATTAAATGTAATGAAAAAGTTACTTTTATCTGCTCACTTCATTTTAGGGAAAGTTGTTTGAATCGAACTTTAAATATAATAAAATTACAAGATGATACATTGCCAATCAAATACTCTGGTAAGAATTTTTGACAATTGCTTTTAACTTATTTAAAAAAAAATGTCTATTATACTTAGTTAATTTTCATTTGATTTTACTGATTTATTTATTTAGTTTTTTATATAGTCATTTTGTTATTCTATAGATGTACCTTATTTTTAGTCTTGCGGTCATATGACAACTATTTTAATTGAAAAAAATCAGAATGCAATATATAATAATATTAAAATATAAAATTCTGATCATAATATACTCCCAGTAAAATATACAATAAAATGAGTTAAATAATTTTAATAAAAATTAAAATATGCACACTTATCAAATTAAAGGCATAGTTAAAGGTTTTCTTTGCTGTTCAATAGTATAATCTTAATACCCAAATAATTATTTTGCGGCGTGGATGTTTATTTTGCTGATGCATCATAAAATACGCTACCTTTTTGAATTTAAATTGCTGACCGTTATCATGATTGTTCACAGAACATGAATTGCAGACTGTTTTAGTGCTGAGAAAATATTTGTATGCTTGCCTATTGATTAATCGGCTGTTTTCTTCTTGCTTACCAAATTTTTAAATAAAATGCCAATTGTTACTTCTTTAATAATGTTACTGTTATGCCAATTGTATAAGTATATTCATCACCAACTTTGTTTTCTTTATTTTCTCTTGTTTATTCATCAAAGTTTACAGTATTTTTATGTTCTTTTACCAATAATATAAAACAAAGATTATGTATGTGTTTCAAGTTTTCTATGTTTACTACTAAACAAGATGTTCTGAACTAAAATTGTGACACAGTACGCACGGTATCTCACTTAATGAGGAGGAAGCGAAATTTATTCAGTCAAAACAATTTATTGAATAAATTTAAAGACAAGTTGGCTTACTAGTTACAAGCATATAAGAAAGTCGAATCTCTGTGCTTATAGTTCAGCAATCTATTACGGGAAACCTTGTACCGAGAAAAGAAGAAACTGTAAGAAAGGAACCGGTAAGAAAATGCAAAGGCTGCTTTTGCACCCTGTTTAATTTCGTACGGAAAAATAAAAAATGACTTCATTGGACCAAAATGTCACTTTACACCAAAACAATAAAAAATATATAACAGACAAAAAAAAAAAGCATAATAATTCATTCGTCAATCGACTCATTCAAAGCTTATTATAGTTACCGTGGTAGTTATCTTGGACAGTAGTCACACTTCCCGTGGATGCAAAATTAAACTTATGTTAAAAAAACTATTTAATTATAATTGCAAAATGTCAACTTGACAATATATATGGAAATAATTATAAAACACGATTGATATTATTGTAAAACTTTTAAGATATATATTTTGGTACTATAGTTCTTAAAACTATGTAAAATTGGCTATATTAGAGGAAAAAGAAACATATTTATCGAGGTACAATCATATTATAAAATTAAATTATATTATTAAATAATATAAATGTGAAAGTTTGTGAGGATGGATGTTGGTTACTCTCATGTAAAAACTACTGAACGGATTTTGATGAAATTTGGAATACGAATAATCTTTTACCCGTGGGAAGCGCCATCATACGCTGGTAACATATGTTATATTTACTATAGTGACGCAACAGAGTCGCAAGAACAAAGAACGCAAGAAATTTTAGATGTCCAACAAAATACGAGCAAAAGATTGCTTAATGATTTATAAATAATTGATAAATTCACGCCACTTTTAAAAAAATATTATTTTCTTGATACTGGCGTGAATTTTTCAATTTAATGAATAATAATCGTAAATAGGATTGGTACATAAGTGTGAAATGAATAGAAGTGTAATAGGTAATAGCTTAGCCATGCCCCTAACAATGAAAATTATATTATATTATTTAATAAGTAGTAGTATTGTAGCAGTTTCACGAAATACTAACTTTTAATATTTAATAATATTTAATATGACTTCAATGTCGATACAAATATCGATATCTTGGGTCACGCCCTATGACAATCCGCCATCGAAGAATTTGCATTTGAAGTTTAGGCATATACGCTTTTTTCGTAGGTATGGCCGGTCCTCTTCTTTTATGTCTATGTCAATAAGTTATTCATAAGTTGTTCAATAAAGTGCCTTAAGAGATTTTTTTTATGACCACACTGATAGGGATGAACGATATTACCTAGGTATCTATACTTTTACTCGATTTCGAATCGGAATTGAAGTATCAATACCTACTCAGTATCGAATGAAATGTATTCATACTTTCTCGTATCGAAACATTTTAAAATACCTCACTTTAGTCGTCATTTTTAAAGATTTTTGGAGCTATTGATAGTCAATAGTAATACCCTATTTACGGAAGAAAGAGAAGAAGGTCCAGCCATAAAAAGCTATGCATATATCACCTTAAAATTTTGTTAGTAGGGCTTTCTCCAGATCGATTTTTGACTGCATCAAATTAATAGATGTTAGCAATGCGATACGACAGGGACGTCACGCTAGTGAGAATTTGTCGTGAGACAGCCTTAAGACTCCTTACCACAGAGTAAACAGTCGGGCACGAGAGATTTTGACTCTCCTTAGTGAGTGACTGAACAAGTATAAAAACTCGCTTCTAAAGTATCGATACTCGTATCGTTTATCCCCACACACCGAAAGGGCATCGGACCGGAAGTCTTTGGTCCGTCATTTTTGATCTATAGATTTTACAAAACGCTAAATTTTCATAGATTGTTTATGTCCTAATTTTGGTGCATTTTGTTTTCACATACTTGAAGATTATCCATTTATTATTTTAAGATATATCTAAACACGTAGGTATACCTCATTTTTCATTTGATAAAAATGACAACTATGCTAAGCGGCACCAAGGGGCAGCATCAGCAATGACGATGTCGCTATTAAAACATTGTCAAAGTTATTTAGCGTGAGTCGCTGAACCTTTTAAGTTATTTATACCTTGGTGTTTCATTGATTAATTTCATAGTTTATAAGCCACAGTTTTATGAGATCATAAGACCATTGATTCAATGCTTTTGATAGGGCGGTTCCTAGTAGCGTGTTCAAGAAATATGATTATTATTCATCGAATTAGATATTTCGATTTCAAAATCCTTTAGTAATCCACCCGTGGAGGTCAAATGTGTATTCACAGTAGCTTTGGCATTTGAGGTTAGAATTGTTATAAGGATGATTGTTTAGGTAGTTTCCAATAGTGTAAACGTCTTGTTTTATTGAAACTGAAGGTTGAATTTTGTAGTTGACAATGTCTGGTGAGCCTGAAGTTGCGCGTACTCCCGAGGAAGGTGATGAGACTGAAGAAGAAGAAATCAAATCATCATATAAACCACCACCGGAAAAGACTATTGAGGAGATCCTAGCTGCGGACCAAGAAGATGAGTCATTACGAAAGTATAAGGAAGCACTCCTTGGACAAGCCCAGAGTGGGCTAGTAATAGTGGGTATGTGAAAATGATTGTTATAAATTATTTTTATTATTTTGTAGAGATTTCTTTCAACAAGGTGACACACATTAATAGGATAAATTACTTATCATTTTGTTCATGGAATATTAGTATAACAATGGTGCCAATTCTCTTGTTTCTAAACTAAAAAAGTTATATTTGTAATTTGAGTTTGTTTTAACATTATTATCACATGCAATCAAAGAAACAAAATTATGCTTCTGTAATAGTATAGTTTGTTTAACACTGTTATCTATCTTAGTCATTTACAGAATTGAATAAAAGTTTATTGCATTTATAGCATAAAATCAGGTTACAAACAATTTTGAACTTAATTGTCACCTATTTTTAGTTTAAAATTGGTATTTAGATAATTAGTAATAAAATTGTAGACATTTACCCTTTTTTCAGCTAACCTGACATATTGTCAATTGACAATGTTGATTGCAGCCAGTATGTACATAATGTTAATATAAAAAGTCTGGGGTTTTGTGATAAACAGTAACAATAGGCTGTCTTATTTTCTATTGAAGTATATTTTTTGTATTTTCAAGAATGTTCTACAGTTATTTATTTGTGTATTTGATCATGATTTGTATTGATGCCAAGATTATGTTGTTAACTCATTCTTATCATGTTAATCATGCTATATGTCATGATAATATTTGTGATAAGATATAACACATACTCTATAGCTCTATCTTAGTGTGACCGATAAAACATAATATCATTTAATACATGAAAAAAAAGGAATTACAGTTTGATTATTATGACGTATTAGGTAATTTTTCAAACTCAATGCAAAGCTCTTTTTATAATTGTATAGTATAATCATTATCCGTGTCAACCCATTAATGTCCCCACATTAGGGACACAGGACTTATTTATAGATGTATGAATAGAATAAGGAGACAGCAACAAGTAATAGAATATACAAAGAAATCAAATCTTACATAAAAATACTTTTAAGATGTTAATTGACAACCTCCATGGCCAATCAGCTTGTATGCTGGTTACAAGGTGTCACTATTTTTTAGCTCAATTTCTAATCAAGTCACTATAGAAAATTAACTTCTATATAAATTGTCTCTGGTCTGGGTGTTGTAGGTATGTTGTTTCAGATCTCCATACTTCAAGTACTGCTTAATTTGATTTCTGAGCAATGTATGTAATGTTAATGTAAGAAGTATTCTTTTTTATTAATCATTATAATACAAATTTTCACATTATCATTGTCCAAAATATTTGTTTTCTGAAGTAATACTTTTTTGTGTTTTTATTCAAAGGAAATATTTCCACAGTAGGGAATTAAACTTATCATGGCAATTGATACTTGAGGGATTTCAATCATAATTAGCTGTTAATTATATCAGTATATTCAACACTTGAATGTTATGAATAAATCGTTTTGTTTTTTAATTAACAAACATAATTTTTCTCTTATTGTATTGTCCATAGAACCTAATGACCCACGTAAGGTGATAGTGAAGAAATTAGCCCTTTGCGTGGCAGAGAGAGATGATTTAGAACTGGACCTCTCAGGAGATCTCACTGACCTTAAGAAACAGGTAAGAAAAGAAACCTTTAAAGACTTTTCCAGTGGATTTTTTTCATGGAGGAGATGATTTGCATGCAACATAAAGGGTTATGGACAGGAATGTAAGGAGAGTAATATCAAAAAAAGAAAGGGTAGTTGATGTGATGGGAACTTGAATGTTACATATATGAAACATCAATAGAAGGGTGTGGTTTTTCTTTATGATAATTTACTTTAGGAAAATTTTGGGGCTTCTGTAGTTATCGAACAAAATGGTACCTATATACAATAGTTAAAGTAAATAAAACTTATTAAAAAATATTTTGAATCTTTTTTATATAAAATGAGAAGAAACTTTTCCCCCAACCTATTATTTCCTCCGACCGAAGGCTTTCTTAGTGAGTGCTTTGCACGTCGTCGGTTTTATGGTGTCGCCATCTCTGTTGTCTCAAATACTCCCTAATATGGGGGCTTTAGCTACTCATCTTGAATCTGAGCAATGTATGAGATGTTCATGTTATTAATTTATTATAAGTAGCAAAGAATGATAATGGTCATTACATATATATTTAAATAAAAGAATAAAAAAGAACACTAAAAACATGATTGAAAAGTGAACTAAATATCAGATCATAATAGATTTAATTATTTTTTTGTAAGGGTTAAGTTAGTCATAACACACTATGCATCTCGCTTACCAGCCATCTTTTACGTGTATTAAAAAGTGGGTAGTATTTAATACAACAGACAGTAACTTAAAATAATCAGCAGAATTACTAAATTTGCTCCAATTATGTATTGTGATGGGTGATTCACAACTTCATATTATTTTGGTGTAGGAAATAATATTTCTGTTAATTATGGCCATAGCATGCTAAATATCAAATTCTTTTGACCGATCTATTGGTAATCATGACATGCTTAATTGTCTGCAGAGAGTGCGATGAAGGATAGAATTTTTCATTTTCCCCCTTCGTGCTGGGGCCTTTATTTTCCTGGGACCTATTATCATTGATGCTATTTTCACGGTACATCTATGCTTTATTTCCTGCTTCACATATTAAACATTTCGGTGGGTACCGAGTACACTTACAAACATCACGTCTTTTGTCGCTATAATGGTCGCCACTTGACAATCATTCATATTAGAGACAGGTGTTCTATGCATCACTGCATCATAAACCGGGCCGATTACCGAGCGATACGGCTCGACGTCTATTGGCGTCCGGCCAACTGTTCACCTTTTACACATACAGGATGTTTATTTTACTTGCCTTTGATACGTTTTTGTATTACCTTTAAAATGATGCAGATGGTCAATGGAAAATATTATTATAGGAAATAGGTTACAAATAAATTAGTTGGTTAAGAAAGAAATTTCTACATACATAAATATACATATATTTTCAAATTATAATATAATGCAGGTTTTTTAATACCTGCATTTTTAATGGTCTATTATTGTAGTTTTAGACATACACCAAACAGTGCTTTGCTAATTTGGGAAACTGCTCAGGATAGTTCTTAAAATTACAAAGAAAAACTGTTTTTTATAGATTACATGAAGAAATAAATTAAATTGACAAGAATCAAATAAAACACTGTTTTAAGAGTTCACTGATAGATATATTATTGGTAACGCAGGGGAAATGATCTTTAAGCCTTAAACAAGGGCCTTGTCCTGAGGACAGTTTGATGCGTGATTGGCCTACCAGGTAAAACCTGCTGCGTAATATCCCCGGTGGGGGAAAATCAGAGATCTAGCAGGAGCCCGCTGGATCAAGATGCATTTCTCCTCATCATCATTATCAGCCCTTTTACGTCCCCACTGCAAGGGCTCAGGCCTTACTTATGGATGGTTAAGGAGGATGACCCTCCATGACCCTCCACGCTGGCCCAATGCGGATTGGAGGCTTAACGTGCCTTCCGAAGCACGAAGCAGCTCGAGATAATTATTTTTTGGTCATCCATTCCTTGCGAAAGTTGCTTAACAACAACAATCGCGGGCTGCGGCGCTTATCCACTACGCTACCGAGCTACTTAACCATTTCCCCTGCGCTAACAAAACAACGCTGGGACTTTTTTATAGTTACCATTAGCAATTAAAATTTAGCATCATACTGTAATTAACTGTACGCTAAGATTTACGGGAACGACAAGTATAGTTCATCGCGTGGTCTAAACAGTGAATGACGTTCCGATTAGATGCGTGTCGTCAGTATATTTATATTACTCAATATCGCCATTCAACTGTGTACTTTAATTATAAACTAATAAAGATTATCGAGCTCATTACTTGCAGAAATGACTTGAATCTTTGCATAAATCTATGCTTGAAAGTTTGACCTGATATTAAAAAAGGTTCACCTATTTATGATAGGTAGGAATTTGATTTAGAAGTACTGATAGTTAAAATTTAATATTATTATAAACTTTTTTAGAAAGTCTAATTGATTACTACTTTTTGGGCCAAAATGAAAAATTGAACTAGTTTTCTGAAACATAATATTGAAAATGCAATGTATTTTTTTCCAGGTGTTCGTAATTAAGGAGGGAGTGCAGTACAGGATAAGAATCGACTTCATCGTGCAACGTGAGATAGTGCACGGGCTCAAATACGTGCAGAAGACGTACCGCCTTGGAGTACCAGGTAAATAAACATATATTGCACAAAATATTATACTTACTTTCTTCCAAACCCATTTTAGGTAGCTAACCTCACATGATAGGTTAGTTTTTTGTTAGTGAAAAATAAGTAATTAGATAAAAAAATACATTGAAATGAACAGATATTTCATCTCGATCATAAAATATCTTATTAAATTAAAAGTAGAGGTTTTATTATTTATATCACGTGACCTCAAACGCGACTCGCCTTGTTGTGACGTCGTATTCGAAAAATATTTCTTCACCTGTTAGGTCAATCGTAAATAACCGTCTATTTATTTCGTGATAGATGGCGCTGTTCTCGCCTGATCTTTTAATAAAATACGCCCTGATACGTCATAAATATGACGCACGACATATTCGCAAGTATAAAAATTTGAATTTTGATGCAAGAGACGTATTATATTTTGTTGTTTGTGATCAACTAGATTTTTTAACAGTGTAGAATATGCTATTGAGACAGTATAGAAAATATTTAAAACCAAACTAGAACTTCACAGACGCCATGTAAATGGCTGTCGAGCTAGTTGCTCACGGAAGTTTAATCCTGAAACTATTTAAAACAGTAACTACAGTAGTTTGTCTATTGTATATAATTATTATTTAATTATTGTATTTTCCTTATTACTATTTGTTAATTATTAATGTAACTGATTTTTCCCGCTTGCCTTTTGGAAGTGCCTGGTACGTAGATAACGCATATTGCTTTATGACATTTACTAATTTAAAATAAGTATGCTCTGAAATGGAGGAAGAAATGCCATTTTATTCAGAATTTAACATGTTTTGTTTTTTTTTTCAATATTGTGCTGTTTTGTTTTTGTGACAACTTGCGTATTCTGCGCATGCGCACTCCATATATGCTGGTGCCGTATTAGTAGTCAAGTCAATGTTACTGTAGTCCCTCTTCAAGGTCTCCACAACTCATTATTGTGTACTTGAATTGCAATCGAATGACTAATAAATATATCGGTTCATAAAAATAATCTATTATTAACAAAAATCAATGATCACAAACAGAAAGTTTATAAGGGAATGTCATTTCATTGTTAACAGAACATCCTCATGTTAAAACTTCTATTAGGGTACGATTTTCAGTGCGGCAAAACAATCTTTTATCAAAATCTCAAAGCGTAAAGTAGATATAGTAATAGATGTATGTATTTATAATTTTCATATGAATTTTTCAAATGTTGGTACAAAATGGCAGTTCATTACCCTCTCGTTTTATAACTAAGACAAAATTATAATAATAAAAACAATATATTTTTTAACAATTCCCTTGTAGACCTAGATTCGGAGCATGCCAACACGTGGCGCTAATATTATAATTTAATATACATCCTATGAATAAAATATATTCTAATCTTTACAATTATTGTTTCCTGCTTTACATAAAAAGAAATAAATAATGAAATAGGTTTTATTCTTTAGTGGACAAGATGACTCACATGGTCGGTTCGTATCCGCCCAAAAACGAGATTCAGTCTTACACCACGCCGCCAGAGGACGCCCCCTCCGGCCTGATGGCGCGCGGCGCGTACACAGTGAACAGTCTGTTCACCGACGACGATAAGAATGTCCATCTACAGTGGGAGTGGTGCTTCGAGATCAAGAAGGACTGGAAGGATTAGGTCGTAGATTGGATGAGAACGGTGCCATAATACTGCCAATTTGACATCTGAATGGCATTCCCGATTGTGAGTATTGAATGGTTTTTTTTTCGGATGGCAACACTGGTGATGTATGTTCCCACTGTTTCTTGTAAAGTTGAACCGGTCAATAATATTGACGGTTATTTTTTTATATTTGTGATATAAATTAACGTGGAAAAGTGTAAAAATTGATGTCGTGGTCACCTTATTTTTTATTTTAAAAACCTCAGGTACATGAGATGGTAACATTAATAAAGAAATCTAATTTCTTATTCTAACACTAAGGTTATCTTAGTGACAGAAAGTAAACTCAAAAAATTATATTCCCACTTTGGAAGTATGTAAACAATTTTTTGGAACTATAGGTATATTAAAATGTAAATACTCTGTGGCAGAGAAATATTGTCGATAAGAAATAGTGGGAATATTTTCACGAAAAACTTAAGTCCCAATACTCCTATGAGAAGAATCTAATGTGAATAGTGGAAATGTCCGGTTTTGGTTACGACTTCCGTGCTTCAGCGGTTATCTTGAATGTACAGTTTTTCTTTTCGCCTCTTCCAATTTTGGACTGCAATTTAAAGATTTTTATTGGTAGTAGATTTTGTTTTGCTTCTACTTGTTTCCTTTGTAAACTGTTTTATGTCTATCCTTTTCTATATATAGAGATTAAATGCCATAAAAGCTAAAAAGTTTTTATGGCAGACCATTATCTCTGTACCTTATAATATACGGTTTTGGCACGATAATATTTTCATCTGCTCTATTGGTTTATGGAAAAGATTATATTCAAAAATTCTATCTGATAAGTCATTGTAAAAATTCTGGTGCATTTAAAATAGTCATAGTTAATGTAAAATAAAAATAATTTTAAGTTTGATGAAAATGTTTAACCGAATTTACTTTTTTTTTTATTATTTTATTCCGATTCCATGACAGTTGCTACATATCAATGGTTTTAATACCGATAAATCTTTACCAACACATTTATAACATCCTGCTGATATAATTGACGACCCTATATTGAAAAAACAAATAGCTGTATAGAAAAGACAACTTTATTATAATAGATTCACAGTTGATTATTGCTAAATTAATTATTTTTATAAGAGTATCAAAATCTAATTTGTGTTTCAACAAAATTATTTTACTACGGTTCTATTGTCATACAGTGGCCGTCTGAAGAGTGCAAGGCTTTACAATTATGAGTATAAAAATGTATTTAGGCACCACATACATTTACTATAAAACCTTTAGCGCTATAAAAGTTCAGCGAAGCGAATGACAATAATTAAGTGGCTCAATACCACTGTCTTCGTAGAGTAAAATTAAAGCAGTTTCTTTACGCTTTTCTATAGTGTTATCAAACTATCAATTAACAGAACTAAGTTTATGAAATTATAATTTACTTATGAGAATTTTGCTCCAATTGTTTGAAATCATTTTTCGTTTCATTGTGGGATTCTATTAAGTACATTTTTTTTAAATATGCATAATTTGGTTAATGTGTATTGTTTTTTTAAATGAAAAATGCTTAAAAAATGTTATAAGTATAGCGTTGTGAATGCAAAATTAAATTGTTTCTTTCTTAAAATAGTGATTTATCATTATAATTATAATTGACCTTTGCTTCGCTGAAAATTTATTAAAAATAGTTGTTAGTTTGGTTGAGAGGATTCTATACAATTTATATAATAAGTCACATGAAATCAATATAGCGTTTATAAAGTAAAGTATTTACAATGATAATAAATATTTTAAATACGTTTTGTATTCGCCTGTACCGATATTGTTTATGCACTAGTTGTATACAATAAAGTATCTGAATGTAAATAATCACATTTTGTAAGTCGGTAATATATCGTTTGGTTTGCGAGAGTGAAATTTGCTATTTTATTTTTTCTAAGTAAAAATAAAGTATCTATTTGATTTTCGTATGAATATTAATTCATAATAACATAATTTTGTTTATTACTGTGCAATATTCCATAGTGAGACTAATTTAATTATGTAACATTATTTTAAATTACCTATGGAAACAATAAACTTATTGAGTATTGAGTATATACGATACTCAAAGTTTTATTTTCGAATCTTTATTAAAAAACCCTCCTTTTAAATTTATAGTTGAATTTTTTTTTTTGTATTTATAAGGTTGAATATTCTGCAAAATACACCTTATGTTCTTCAGTATAAAGTTTAAAATGGTTACTCTCGAGAATCGAACGACATAACATCTTTATTGTCAATATAATTGGTATGATCTATAATCGAGCTGACACCGGCATTCCTATATGGCATTTGACGCTTACGTTTGAAATCAATTTCAATACTTCGCTTAAGGGAAGCGTATTTTTTAAAAAACAAAGAACAATGTAAGTACCAAATTTAGTATTAAAACTATATAAGGATATAGTAGCACCAAATGAAAGATAAAAAAATCTATTTTTAATAAATTCACATATTGCTTCTATGGATGTGTCGATGTGACAAAACTTGGCAATAATGTTGAAAGTATTATGTGTCTTGATGTTCCCTTTAGGAGGCGTAAGCGATTGAGTATGTAGACTCAGTTGGAATACTCAGTTTGCTAGAACATTAGATATTTAATAGAGTGAAGCAGAAAATAGGTAATTACAAAATTTAGTCGGTAACCACGACAAGACTATTCACAGTGTCATTGGCAATATGAGCTTTATGATGTGCTTGATATTTGAAATAATTTTTAATGGACGAACCAGTTTCACACATGGTTATTTTTATTATCCATCCCAATAAATGTGTAAACGTATAGTACGTATGTTATGCAGAGATCGGAATTAGGTATTTATGTACTTGCATCGAAATGTTGATATTAATGTGGACCTTCCCGGGATTTCTTCATTTCTTTCTTTCATTGATGTAAGTTTGGCAACGTCGTGCGTGCAGTAGTTTAAATTGTGTAAAAGTAAATAACGTTTTATTTAAAAAATTACGGGTTTTTTTCTGCTCTTTAAAATTAATTTCGGGATTTGAGGCATATCCACTTTATTCTTTCGCTGTATGAAATCAATGTAAGTACATGAATAACTCTACCTAATTCCGACCACTGGTTATGACTTCGTTTATATACAAGTATATGTTCGTATGCGTCTTGTCACGGTAAACGAGAGTAACTTCTCAAAATAGTCGTGTAATACGATGTCAATATGGATAGTCAAATGAGTGATGTAGTTGAACTCTTTAAAGTATCAAATTTTCTAGCAAATGAACACGGATCAAAAGAAAATGGCATTTAAAAAAGATTTAGCTTGGGCGGGAAAGGGAGGGAAGGTGCTTCAGTGTACACCACTGGTGCTCTTCTTGTTAATATTATAATTATAATCTAAGGCTTCCCTTTTATAAAATTATTAGAATAGTGCCCAATACTTTGAATAATTAAATCCTACAGTATTCCTCACGAATATTGGGTATAATATTTGTAATATCGGGACTAGTTTAGTATGTATTCATTCGTGCTCTATTTTATGTGAATTTTTTTATTTTTATTTGTTAATTAAATGCAGCAATCGATTTTTATTATAACTCAATACACGTGTAAACTTTATTTGTAATAGTTTGGCCAAAAATAAAGCTTATTTATTCAATTTTTCTATATTATTTGTTACCTCCTATTAGCGATCTACTAACATGCCTTCGCTATTTGTTTGTATAAATATCGATTTAGATTACTAAAAGTAAAAAACAACAAATATGGCTTACCGACATTTTTATTATACTACTTTAAAGTTATCAACACAAGACTGAATATATATTTTTTTTATCATAAGTTGCGTCATCGTATTCTGGTTTCGGTATGTATACTGGATTTCAACGCGCTGTTTTAGTTGGATTTTACTGATGCGTTTAAAATTGTCATAGATTACTTTGAAGGCGGCTGTTATCACTCCAAATAAATGTTTAATGGTTCTTTAATACCATTTTATTATGTCTAGTTTGCACTTTTTATAAATTAACCCATGATCTCTTCTAAGTTGACATCATACACTCTGCTGGGGTTACGTTTTTTAGAGATTACATCGGCTTTCTTGAGGGCTATGGTGACGCGTTTGTCCGTCTGGTGCGTGGGACAGAACGCTGTCAGCCTGGTAGGCACGTAGTTGCTGTGGAGAAGCATCAGCGGCATTGCTATCGCCATGCAGCCAGAATCTGAAGCAGTTACAAATTAAAATTCAATATAATTTATTAGCAATATAATTAAGTAGCTCGGTGGCGTAGTGGATAAGCGCCGCGGCCCGCGATCGTAGTCGTTAAGCAACTTTCGCAAGGGTCGGTCACGGGATGGGTGACCAAAAATTATTGTCTCGAGTTACTTCGTTCTTCGGAAGGCACGTTAAGCCGTTGGTCCCGGCTGCATTTGCAGTCGTTAATATCCTCCAAACCGCATTGGGCCAGCGTGGAGGGTCATGGCCCATCCTCCTTAACCATCCATAAGGAAGGCCTGAGCCCCTGCAGTGGGGACGTAAAAGGGCTGGTGATATATATAATTTATTCAGTCTAGGCTGTTACAAGCACCTGTGTATGTCGAAAACTACGCCATAGGTTCGCAAATCTGCGGCGGGAGACCTTGCACTGAGAACAAGCGCCAAGAAAGTCAACAAGGGATCCTTTTTTTCTCCCTTTTTTATTTCATACAGAGCAGTCTTATTGGAATTCAACAAGACTTTCTTAAAAAGTTTTGTTTGAAAAAGTCTTCAGTGAGTCTTTTTTAATCTTTAATGGTTGGCCGTTGCCTATTTAAGATGTGGCCTGAGATGGTATATGCCTTCACAAAAAGCGCTAATTCATTATGACTTTGAAGTCTGGTTGTATTTATTTTGATTGGTTGTATCGATTAGTATGAAACACATGGGAAGATAGCATATACCATTAAACTGGCCAAACGCTAAGTGTGAGCGGCCGCTCACACTATGATTACTGAAGTATCAAAACGAGACTGAAAGTTTTGCCATGAAGATGTATCTACTGTCAGATTGCTTAATATAAGTTTTTTTTTGATTTTCGATCGTGAGATCGTTAATATTCTAGTATGGAAACCGGCACAGCTCCCCCTAGCGGTAACTATAAAAAATTATCTCCATATAAATTCTTCATGTGCTCACTAATAGAACGTGGTAACATAAAACTACTCACTGCTCAGCACGCGTAACTTGACGAACTCGAGAAACTTTTGCGTTTCTCGGTTTGTCATGCGACGTGTACGTCTTGAAAACAATACCTGGTATTTTAGTTTTCACATTGACATTTTCTATCATGTATATGCCGCTCTTTCCGAGCACATTGGTTATAGTTCTGGTAGTGAATTCTCTTGTCTGGTCCGACTCCAGAGTAGGAGCGTCTGTCGCTACTCCAATCACGTGGCTGAGATTCGCTGCAATCCATTCTGCTAGGTCGTAACTCAGACCTGAGGATTAGTAACAGATATAAGTGAAGCTAATTTGAAATTAGCACAATGAATAGGTAAGATATGCACCAGGAAAGTGTACCCCCTGGAATGACCCCTTACTTGAGTTTCACGAGTCTCACGATTTCGTTATGCTACGCGTACACGACTCGAGTTTTGTGTAGAGAAACTCAAAGCGGTTACATAGTTCTCCTTTTTCGTAGACAAAATACTTTTGTTGTAGCGAATATTGTAATAAGTAGATCGGTGGCATAGTGGATAAGCATCGCGACCAGCGATCGTTGTTGTTAAACTATTTAACTTTCGCAAGGGTCTGTCACGGGACTGGTGATCAAAAGATATTATCTTGAGCTACTCCTTCGAAAGGCACGTTAAGCCGTTGGTCCAGGCTATACTTGCAGTCGTTAATACCTTCCAATCCGTATTAGGCCAGCGTGGAGAGTCATGGACCATCCTTAACCATCCATAAGGAAGGCCTGAGTCCTTGCACTGGGGATGTCAAAGGGTTAATGATGATGAAAGAATATTACCTGGAATTTTGCAAACGCACGTCCTCTTGCGACTATTATAATCCTTCCAGCCAAACTTGAAGAGCAACAACGTGGGTTCCTTTGGGTCATGTTTGAGTGCCAGCCACTGGAGGGCCACGTCTAGAGTTAATGTCAGCGAAGGGCTGATCTTGGTAAGTGATCTGACGTCGATAACGGTCACTAGAAATTAAGTTCGAAAAGTGTCAAAGAACGTTTTTTATTTTTTTTAATACAATATACCTAATAGTTTTTTTTTTAACTATTGACTCATTTTTATTACGTTGCAACTATTTCTTGCTTAGATTTAAAAAAAAAACTAAAAATCATGTTTGTTTATGGGAGCCCTCCTTAAATATTAATTTTATTCAGTTTTAAGTGTTTGTTGTTATAACGGCAAAAGAAATACATTATCTGTGAAAATTTCAACTGTCTAGCTATCCCGCTTCATGAGATACCATTAGAGACAGACGGACAGCGGAGGCTTATACTCATTTACTATAGATTTAGACAGAAGTTAAATAAAGTTTATTCGAGGGTATACTTTGTAACAAAATATCATACTGTAAAAAAAATTAATTATTAAAAAATTCACTTGGTCCATGGCACCATGAGATGGGATTTTTTAAGCATTATTCATTAAGAATATTTTTCAGTAGGTATAGCATTGTGAATGCATAATTGATCAATGCATAATAAATATATATCAATTTGTTTATCAGCTGTCATACTTAACTGTTATCGTTTTAGCGATCTATCATATAAAGTAATAAAAAGTATATATCTTTAAGAACCCAAGGAAGCAGGGCTGTATAGTGTCGGCGCATTTTATTCTTATTCGTCAAAATACGTTATCTGTTATTGTCATTCATTGTTTTTTTAATAAGGTCGTAGATCAACAACCTTATAAAAGACAATCAAAGGGTTTTGTCCGTTAATTCAGCATGTTTATTAAAGTAATCATTATATATTGTCCTGAAGGAAATATTTGCAAAAATGCCTAGAGTAGGTATTTATAAGATATAAGCTTGACGTTTCAGTTAACTCTATAATTTCTAGTTGTTAATGTATATTATCAAAGATATACAGAAACTGCCAGCTCCTTATCAACACCTGGGTGCGTGAAGAAGGGAAATTGCCCGGCTCTTTCAGACTAGTTAGTCTGATATTGTTCAATACCAATATTGTTAGTTTTAAGAAAACTGTTATAATTATTACTTTTTTAATTTGTCTTGAAAATAAAATGTTTTGTACTCCTGCTTCTATGATCCTCTTTCTTTGTAACATTATAGTCACGGAGTGTAGTTATTGGGTCCTATCTGTACGGCAAGTACAGAACCTTAAAAGTGCTGCATGCACTTTTGGAACAACCAAACTTTTTCCTTATTTCGGTTTTGAGATCGTTACGCTCCTTACACAGTGAGGTTGTGGGCGGTGACCAATATCATAAACCACTGTTTACGGACGTATGGGCGCACGTCACGCTATGCACCACTACCGTAAGTAGACTCGTGTTTGTAGGGAAGTTCTATACGTACGTGCAGCCATGTGTATTGTATTATTGACCAGAGGCCTAATATCGAATTTTAAAATCAATCGCAGTTTCCTTCAATTTGAAAGATATTTACGAACTTCACGCTACAATTATTTGATATGTGATAGCAGCAATTGCGATCGAGAAAGTTTTAACGTTAATGAGGAAGTATTTAAAAAAAAAATAACGAAAGCACTAAAAAAGCACCTCCACTAGATGTCGACTTAAGCAAAAGTTGATTTTTGCCGAGCACGAATAGACCAAAGACATTAATATCCGTTTCTTTTAACTAACATATTAAAGAATTGAAATATGAAAAGTTCGAAACTTAGATATCAATACAAATACGAAAAAGTACAAATAGAATATGAGTTGTTTGTTGAGTTTTGAAAATTATATTACTTGTTATGCCCTCGCATTATAACGGAAACGCCGATGCAGCAGATACCTCGATTACCTGAAATAAATAATAAATTGCGACAGCGCCGTCACGAGGCGCTGACTCGACAACACGTGAGGCATCGGGTCGCAACCTGCGGCTAACGCAAGAATTTCTGTTCACTTTGATTCTTACATCGAACATTGTCAATAGTTTTTAATTATAATAAAATTAATTGTAATTTTTCTTATCTTTAATAAATTTCTTTGGGGAAAATCATTTTTTTTGCATCCTACGCTGCCGTCGTCCTTAATTGGCGCAGTCGGTAGGATATTCGCGGTCGGTTTCGGGCTACATAAGAAGATTTCCGTACGCACGAGCCGCCCGAGTGGCTATCAAGTCGCGTTCGAATATCCTGAACCTAAGGCGAATAGCGGCGCAGGAGTATCCAGAAATCGATACGGCAAAGGTACCTAGAAGAAGCATGAAATTGTAAGTACACTTGAATCTTTCATGTGTTGCTTTTCCTAGTATAATCCTTTTATTTTCCTAGTGTGTAAATTTCCTTCCAAAATTTTCCATCCCAGGCAATCGGGGGCCGTTTCCCCTAGATTAGATAGACAAAATAGGTTAGACGAGTTTAGAAATTTAGATATAAGTTCAGAGGAAACGTGCGAATCGGCGCAATTTATCTCATATAGTAATAAAATGGCAGACTCCATAGACGAAATTTTTAAATCATTAAGGCTACTCCCAGAATTCGACGGGAACCCTAATGTTTTAACACGGTTTATTCGCCTATGCGATCAACTAGTTCTAAGGCATGTAAAGATCGACCCTGGACACGATTTTGAGAACCAGGCCTTGCTAAACGGAATATTAAATAAAATCACGGGGCCCGCCGCCCGTCTTATTAATTCAAACGGGATCCCTAGTGACTGGCAAGGAATTAAAAATGCCCTAATAAATAACTTTGCCGATCAACGCGACGAAACGGCGCTATATAACGACTTAGCATTACAATCTCAGGGCAATCACACCCCACAAGAATTTTATGAACGCTGTCAGACTCTTTTCAGCACAATAATGACATATGTTACATTGCATGATTTTGTAGATAGTACAATTGAGGCCAAACGTCAACTGTATAAAAAATTAACATTACAGTCTTACTTACGCGGATTAAAAGAACCATTAGGTTCGCGTATTAGATGTATGCGTCCCCAATCTATAGAACAGGCGTTAGAATTCGTACAAGAGGAAATTAATATTTTGTATATGCAACAACGAAACGATAATTTACCAGATAAGAAAGCAACCCCAAATATATTGAATCAACTTCCTGCTAAGTCTTATTATAACCCACCAGTTTATATGCCACCTAACAAACCTTTCAATTTTAACATGCCAGGTCCTTCCCGACCTCATCCTATTCAAATGATGCCACCCTCTCAACAATGGAGATCGAACCCCATTCAACCGCAAATGAACCGTGGACCAACTAGAACACAGCAGATGTTCAGAGCTTTACCACCGAACTATAACCCGCAAAGCAACATATTTAGAGTCCCTAATAGAAATTATGCATTTCCCTCCACTTCACAGGCACCGAAACCTATGAGCGGTGTAAGTAATTTTGTTACGAAACCTTTACCACCCAGTGGACATGATTGGCGAAAATTTGGCAATCCCCCACCTAGCAACTATTTTAAAACCAAAGAAATTAATTATAATCAGTGTAACGACTATGAATACGGGTCTTACTATGATAACAACTCGGATTACAGTTACGGTGAACCGGAGTGTTATTACGATAACAGTGAATATCCATGTAATTATAATTATGATCCTTATTACTATCCAGAAATAAATAGTTTAGAGAACAGTGACGAACAATCAGAGGAAACTACCCCATCGTGTAACGTTGAGGTTTTTCAGAAAACATGCCGATCCGACAAACCAAAATAGAACTTAACTTACAGACACAAAGACAGTTACCATATATAAAAATATCTGATCCACCATTAAAACTACTTATAGATACCGGAGCTAACCAGTCTTTCATCAGCCCGGCGGCAGTTGAAAAATATTTTTCGTGTGTTCCATTAAAGTACGAACCATTTGAGGTTGTCAATGTTCACGCAGTGAGTAAGTGTGACTATTCTATAACATTGCCGTGTTTCCCGGAATTCCAGGACACAGACAGCGTCACATTTTACGTTTATAAATTTCACGATTATTTTGATGGACTCATCGGGTCCGATTTGTTAAATAAATGGGAATCGTCTATCGACTTTAAAAATAAGACTCTTATTACTCGTTACGCTAATAATCCTATTCACGTTTACGACTCGCGAAACGTAAATTTGTACGAAGATATTATTCCGGCCCATTCATCTAAATTAATAAGGTTACCAATAAATTCTTGTGACGGTGAAGTATTTATCCCAGAACAGATTTTATCTAATTGTATCATAGGTGAGTGTCTTACAAATGTTAGAAATAGTCGCGGAATTATCGAAGTTACCAATCCCACTCAACACGACATTATTTTTTCGGTAGATCGTCACCTTAACGCTGAACTATACAATATCGAGTACACATGTACCAAGCCACCTGCTACGACGTCGGATAGTGCTACGAATATCGAGCCTTCTCATTGGTGCTCATATAATATCGAGACATTACGTCATTCGCGCGCTACGGATTTGACTACGCGTGCTACAGAAGTGCTCTCGCGACTACGAACAAATCATTTAAATGCGGAAGAACGCGCGAACTTAGAAAATTTATGCGCTCATTACGCGGACGTATTTTATATTGAAGGAGAAAAATTAACATTTACTAATCAGATAAAACATTCTATTAAAACTACTGACGAGGTACCGGTCTACACTAAGTCTTATCGCTATCCATACGTGCATAGGCAGGAAGTTAGAGATCAGATTAGCAAAATGTTAGAACAGGGAATCATTAGACCATCTCAATCGGCTTGGAGTTCACCAATCTGGGTGGTTCCCAAGAAAGCTGACGCATCCGGCAAAACTAAATGGCGCCTTGTTGTAGATTTTCGTAAATTAAATGAAAAAACAATCGACGATAAATATCCGATCCCTAACATCACCGACATATTAGATAAATTGGGCAACTGCCAATATTTTACTACGTTAGATCTTGCTAGTGGATTCTATCAGGTCGAAATGGAACCTTCAGATATACCGAAAACTGCATTTAACGTCGAACACGGCCATTTTGAATTTTTAAGAATGCCTATGGGCTTAAAGAATTCTCCGAGTACTTTCCAACGGGTAATGGACAATGTCCTTAGAGGGCTCCAAAACGTTATTTGTCTAGTTTACCTTGATGACGTTATTATATTTAGTACGTCATTACAGGAGCACATTGTCAATTTAGAAAAAGTTTTTAAAAGACTACGCGATTCTAACTTTAAGATACAGATGGACAAGTCCGAGTTCCTCAAACTCGAGACTTCATATTTAGGTCATGTTATTAGCAAGGATGGCATTAAGCCCAATCCTGACAAAATTGAAGCTATAAAGAAATATCCATTACCAAAAACTCCAACCGAGATTAAGAGATTTTTAGGCTTATTGGGTTACTATCGTAAATTTATACCGGATTTCGCGAAGATAACTAAACCTCTAACGACGTGTTTGAAAAAAGGCTCTAAAATAACGCTAGATCAAAATTATATAAATTGTTTCGAAAAATGTAAATTATTGCTTACTAATGATCCCATCTTACAGTATCCGGACTTCTCTAAAGATTTTATCTTAACAACAGACGCCTCTAACTTAGCAATAGGCGCCGTGTTATCGCAAGGCCCTATCAATAGTGACAAACCTATTGCGTACGCATCTCGGACTTTGAATACCAGTGAAATAAATTACAGCACCATTGAAAAAGAATTGTTAGCCATTGTATGGGCAACAAAATACTTTCGTCCGTATCTTTTTGGCCGTAAATTTAAGATTATCACAGATCATAAGCCTTTGCAATGGGTTATGAATCTTAAAGAACCAAACTCACGTCTCACACGTTGGAGACTTAAATTAAGCGAATTTGATTTTACCGTCATATATAAGCAAGGAAAATGTAACACAAATGCCGATGCTCTGTCTCGTATAGAAATATATAACGAGGAAATAAGCTCAATGGTAGTCAACCCTACTGAGAAAGCCCCTTCATTACCTAACTCAGATACAGTAACAGTTCATACCGACGCGGAAAACCCCATACTCGAAGTGCCTATTACAGATGACCCATTGAATAAATTTCACAGACAGATTTGTTTTACGGTAGTCGGCGATATTAAAGGAAAAACGACGGTATCGAAACCTTTCGAGAGTCATACGCGTACAGCTATTCAGTTATCTAAATCTAATCTCGAACAAGATGTAGTCAGTGCAATCAAAGAATACGTAAATCCCAAAGTTAAAACCGGTATTATTATACATCCTCCGTTAGAAATGTATTCCATTATACCAATTATCCAAAATAACTTTAAATGTTCCGCTATGAGTTTAGTACTAACGAAAATTGAACTTGAGAATGTTAAAGAGTATTTACGTCAGCAAGAGATCATTCAAAAATACCACGAAGGTAAGACTAATCATCGCGGTATTACTGAGTGTTATCTAGCTTTATCTAAAAAATATTTTTGGCCAAAAATGAAGGAAAATATCGCGAAATATATTAATGAATGTAACATATGTGGTCAAGCGAAATACGACCGAAATCCGATTAAACAACAGTTTCATATCGTACCTCCACCAACAAAACCATTTGAAATTATACATTTAGATCTATTTACAGTAGAAACCGAAAAATATCTTACTTTAGTAGACGCGTTTTCTAAATACAGTCAGGCGTATCATCTCAGAGATGGCACAGCTATAAGTGTAGTCCAGGCTTTATTGAAGTTTTGTACACATCACGGCATTCCAACTATAGTAGTATCAGATCGTGGGACAGAATTCACGAACCAATTATTTTTAGAGTTTACCCGTGTTCATAAAATACAGCATCATAAAATCTTAGCACACGCTCCAAATGAAAATGGAATAGTAGAACGTTTCCACTCTACACTTTTAGAGCATTTACGTTTACTTAAACTGAACCATCGCGCCGAATCTGTAGTTAATTTAATGTCATATGCTATTCTCGCATACAATAGCTCGATACATAGCTTTACTAAGTGCAGGCCGTTAGATGTTATAACTGGTCATTTCGACCCTCGTGATCCTTTAGATATCGAACTGTCTGGACATCTTCTACAGCAATACATAATAGATCACCGAAACAAAATGAGTAAATTATATGAAATGATACAAGAATCATCCTTACAACGTCGTACCGATATTATAGAAAATCGTAATAAGAATAGAGAGCCTGAGGAAACTTATAACCCAGAACAAAACATTTTCATTAAAAACCCTATGGCTAGCCGCCAAAAGCTTGCACCTCGCTATACTCACGATACTATATTAGCTGATCTCCCGATTCATATTTACTCTAAGAAAAAGCGCGGTCCCGTAGCAAAATCTAGGCTTAAGAGAGTCCCTAACAGCGCTCGCTTGTTACAGGATAATAACGGTGGTCCTGCTACAAGCAATGGGAATGGCGCAAGAGATAACACTTGACAGCCTGGAAGACGGTCCGGGTATCCTTCCTTTTAAATTAGGCCCTTCAAAAATAATTTCTAATTATCACGCATTTTTACAATTTATAGATATAGCTTACATTAGGTCTAAAGTTAATCTCGTGAAATTACAGTTAAATGAAGTTCGGCCTCAGTTAAATAACAAAACTATGTCTTTATATGAACCACATATAGATTATCTTAGTAACAAGCTAGGAAAAGTTTCTGAACAGTTACACACTTTTGAAACTGGTAGAGTCAAGAGAGGATTAATTGATGGACTAGGATCTGTAATAAAAAGTATATCGGGAAATCTCGATTATAAAGACGCTATTTATTACGATAACGCCATAAAAACTATTCAGAATAATGAGGAAAAATTAGTCTCTGAATATAACAATCACATAAGTTTGACTAAAGAATGGATTTCTGAACATTCCATAATATTAAGTAATATAACTAATAATCAGAATAAAATTCAACAAATACTAAATTTAATAATGGAAAGTGAAGCTAACAGAGAAACCGAATTAATAAAGTATGCCCATCTGGCACAATTACTATTAATATTAAGTGATAACATAGAAGATTTGACAGAAGAGTTAGTTAAGATAGAAAATTTCGTAGCTTTTATACATACATCTAGTACTCACCATTCAATGTTAAGTTTAAATACAATAAAATCTATGTTAATTAAGATGAAAACTATATATAATAAAGACGAGATCATAGATATGAATCTTAGAGATTACTATGACGTCATTAAGTTAGGTTCTTATTATACTAATAATGGGATAGTTATAGTTTATAAGATGCCGATTGCCTCTCCAAATACTTATATACTTTATAAATTATCTATAGTTCCTAATAGAAACCACACGATTTTTATCCCATCCTTACCTTTCATTGCGATACATAGAAATGATTTCGTGTACATAGAGACAGAATGTCCGAAGTCGAACACTTGGTACCTCTGCGAGATGAAGATCAACTATCGGACTCGAGATCAAACAGATTGCATCCACAGCCTCATCACCACCCAAAAACTGGACAAGACATGCCTGCCAACTTCAGTTCTATTAGACAAGGAAGCACTAGAACAACTGGACGACAAACACTACGTAGTCGCCTTTCCTAAGCCAACGAAAATCCAGACGTCCTGTGGGAAGACTACATATACTACGCTTCAGGGAAGTTACTTAGCAACGATTCCATCTGGATGTTACATGTATACGACGGAGTTCACAATCTCGAATAGCAACGATCGTATAAAAGGAACAGCAATAAAAATTACCAATTTGCCACAGTTATTGGATAATCCGTCAGCATCACTGAAACCAACGATCAAATTGAATTCCATTAACTTAGAAAACCTTCACGCCAGCAACAGTAAAATATCTATGCAGCATCCAATCGACATAAGAACAATTGAAGAGCCCAGTATCTACCACACTACGATACCGTTCTATATAATCATGTTAAGTGCAGCTGTACTCCTTATCTACATCATTATACGAAGATTCTGTGTAAAACAACGAGAAAAAGGGAACAAATCTAAAGACGCATCTCAGGAAATTTATACAGAAATACCAGAAGATAAACGAGATGCACCAACCCACATTGCAGCAACATTCTCGAAGAAAATTCTCAATAGTTGCTGATCTTCGGGGGGAGGTGTTATGCCCTCGCATTATAACGGAAACGCCGATGCAGCAGATACCTCGATTACCTGAAATAAATAATAAATTGCGACAGCGCCGTCACGAGGCGCTGACTCGACAACACGTGAGGCATCGGGTCGCAACCTGCGGCTAACGCAAGAATTTCTGTTCACTTTGATTCTTACATCGAACATTGTCAATAGTTTTTAATTATAATAAAATTAATTGTAATTTTTCTTATCTTTAATAAATTTCTTTGGGGAAAATCATTTTTTTTGCATCCTACGCTGCCGTCGTCCTTAATTTACTTTTAAACATGAAAGAAAACCGGAAGGGTTGTCATGGAGAAATCAAGAACATACTGTAGCGACATCTAGTTTGATTTCGGGAACTAATATTTTTTTTAATACTTCCTCATTGCAATGTCTGTGATAAGCGTTTGATGTTAGTATTACTTTAAGTTCCAGAGTTTTTATCCAAATAATTATTTGTTCCAAAAGCTATGGCAACTTTACATGATCCAATAAATATCTATCATAATTACTATACCTTTGAAAGGGCTTGCGATCGATTTTAAAATTAGATTATTAGGCCACAGTATAGCTTACGTCTAGTTAACAAGAATTCTGTGGGTATAACGGCAGGATACGTAGTTCCCGGTTCGTTCAAATAGTCCAGATGCATAGCTGTGCCTAATCCAGGGATTCCACAGTTCATGCACACCTTCCTGTAGATAAAGATAGGAAATTGGTAGGTATATTATATATTGCAAGATAGGCAACTTTATTGTAGAATTACTTACGAAATTTTAATAAAAAAAAATATTGTTTAAAATTTCGATTAAGAAATAGGTATTTAAGAAGTAAGTAGTTCTCGAGATCTCAAAATAGATGTCGTTAGCTACTTTGATAGGTTAGCGTCAAACATTGTAATACTGTTAATATGGTTCTCAATTAAATTATCTATGAAATGCGTTCCGATTTTCTTTCTGATGTAATAAATTTTTTTTTAACTGCAATCAATCATGTTTGCACTAAACACTATCCATCGAGCCCCTACAATTCCTTAATTTTATTTAGCATAATTTAATTTTTAACTAACCCAATCCTGTTTAAATACTAGATAAAAATAGGCGAATATGTAATATAATCCCTATTACGAAGAGGCCCAAGTCAATCTCCAGTTAATCTATACTAATATTATAAAGCTGAAGAGTGTTTGTTTGTTTGAACGCGCTAATCTCAGGAACTACTGGTTCGAATTGAAAAATTATTTTTGTGTTGAATATATCATTTATCGAGGAAGGCTTTAGGCTATATAACATCACGCTGCAACTATAAGGAGCGAAGAAATAATGGAAAACGCGGACGAAGTCGCTGGCGGCCACTAGTTCCTAATAAGGGAATATATGTAAGTAAACTATTAATAAAAGCAGAAAGATGGCGATCTAATTCGTTTGGCTTATTTCAAAGTTAATTAATTTCTATCATAAGGAATAATTACCTCCATGTAATTTATCGTTACAAGGCTTAGATAAATATTCGGAAGTTTAAGCGAGGCAATGAAACAAGTTCTTTTTGGTGACCTTGATTGATAAAGTTAATTGCTTTAAATTGTCTAGTAAACGATAATATATTACGGGTTACGTTATGGTATTTTTAATTGCGGTTCATTCACCGGAAGGTTTCACAAGAATCAATTTTCTTATTTTATACTTGGGTAAATCTTGTGGAATTGCAGTTCCAAAACAGGATAGTAATAATAATGCTCCAAGGTGGAAAAGAAAGGGAAAACGTCCAGCTTTGCGATTTTGTTACAATAAAACTATTATGGCCTTTTGAAAAAAGCTGCGGTAACGCTGTGTTCTTTGATACGCCCAAAGTTTTTTTAATAGATATTGTTGTTTGAAGAGATATGATTTTTTTAACATCAAGGATAAGGAAGGTAAAAGTTTTGAGGATTTTGTCTACGGCCAGTCTTAAAAGGCTGATGATGATGGTAACAAATGAACTTCATATAATTTTACTAGCTGTTTTTACGACTCCGCCTGCGTATATTATAGCACATGTCACCATGTGATGTAGTTTTGCTTAGATGAAAGAATTCTCATAATCAGACCAGCATTTCCGTAAATTACCTTTTATATAATTACTTAGTACCGTGTAATATCTTTTACAGAGACTAAATTCCTTAAACGTACGCCACACGATGAAACTTACCATCTTTTCTCTACAGATGTATAATATTCTGACATTTCTTTCCAAGTAGTTGCTTTTGTCATGTCTACGATATTTATTATAGACATATTGTCTTCTAAAATCTTTTGATTGGTACACAACACTCTAACCGAAAATTGAACTAACATTATTGTATGCAAAAATAATTTGTCCATTTTAATGCTACTTATAGAGAGTCCACGGTTGGTCTAGTCATAAAATAGCACTGGGGTTTAGAGATGAATCGATGTTTTGATTATTTTTGTTTGTACAATAACTTTTGCTATTGTTTTGGATTAGCAGACTATATACAAAGTGCCAAATAATAATGTTTTTGATCTATCAATTTAAACAATAATAAATAATACTAATATAATAAAAAAATTGTTCAGATAACATTATTGAAAAAAACCCTCGTTAACAGTGAAAATAATAAGTTAATACTTATTTACGTAATTGCGCAGTCAGATTAGGTGTCCGGTAGGAAAGTGAAAAATAGAAAAAAAAAAAGTAAAATAACATCCGATTGTAGTTCGGTGGCGTAGTGGATAAGCGCCGCGATCGTTTTTGTTAAGCAACTTACGCAACGGTCGGTCACGAAATGGGTGATCAAAAATTTTGCTCGAGCTAATCCTTGCTTCGGGAGGCACGCTAAGCCATTGGTCCCGGCTGTATTTGCGGTCGTTAATACCTACCAATCCGCGTGGAGGGACATGGCCCATCCTCCTTAACCATCTGTGTTCTGTGTTAACCATCCATAAGGAATGCCTAAACCCAAGCAGTGGGGACGTAAAAGGGTTGATGATGATGATGATGGCGTATTATATTAAGTTTGGACTTTGTAATAAAGTAAGTAACGACTGTTTATGCTCATACAGTGGGACCTACACAAGATTTCCGGCCCAAAATAACATAAAGTTATGTTATATATGTTATTTCAATTAAGAAGAAGAAAAAACATACATTGAGCTAAAATAAAACAATACGTACCTATGAATCAGGAACCTGATTCAGCATAATGTTTATCTGACACAAGGTGTGTTGCATCGTGTCTTCACTGATATACTGGCAGAGCCTGTTATAATAAAAAAATTTCCTAATTTGTTTTTCATGAGAATTGAGAAGTAACAAAGATAACACGTCCAAAATAGTCGAATAAATTTATACTGTCTAAAATGATATGAATTTTTAAAATATATTGATGTTATATTATTATGTACTAGGACTTTTACTATGGTAGCAACACTGAATTCACGGAAAAATAATCAACCGTTCCATACTGTTGTAGATATTACAATTTTGTATGAAACGGCTGATTATTTGTCCGTGAATTTAGTGTTGTTCCCATAGTAAAAGTTGATCAGTATACTTATCCATCTCATGAAGTCCTGATATATAATAATATTATACATTATATATAAAAAATGAGATTGTTATGTCAAATTAAATATTTTTATTGTACTCGGAAACCTTATAGTTGCATAAAACAAAATCATGAATAATAGATTAAATAACTTAATAAAAAATGACACACAGTAAATATTATTTTTCAGTGATGACCTCTGTTTTAGCTAGGCAATTAATCTACATGTTATCTAAAGTATAAACCCTCAAACGTTGAAATAACAGATGAGTGGATATTATTCTTATTCTTAATCTTATCTTTAACTATAACGAAAATGACTATGGGAGTAGTTTTGACACTAATCCATATTTGTACAAATATGCGACGTACGTCAGAAACTAATCAATATGTGTAATTAATAATTTTATCTAACATCGAATTAAAAGATAAACTCGCTCAATACTATAATTGCTGTTAAATCCTAGAGATTAACTAGTCGATCACTCTGTACATTCCATATTAAAGTTCCAAATCATTCAAATAAGCGACCAAGTGAGATTTGGATTAGTACAAGGCGTGCTGTAAATTTCAAAGCATTTCATATTGCCTCACCAGGGGGCAAAGTAAAGTAAAGGTGTTTTGTAGAACTATTTCTTTCGGATGTTTAGGTAGATGTTACAGTAATTATACTAAGCATGAAAATACGCACACTAATAGCGAAAGTAACGAGCGTTAAGGAGAATGGGCCACAAGGGCCCAGCGCGGGTCGGTGGAATTCCTTAAGTAAAAAGTTTTGTTATGTATTAAGTTATGTGGTGGAAGTAACGTCTGCGAATGCAGACAGGACTAGCTAATCTACTCCACTTCCTTATGTCATAACCAGATATTAAATTAATTAATAAATCAATCATGTCTTTTATTTTTAATTACAGTTTTTAATCTTGAGAAATGTCAGATTTTCACATTTGAAATGAAAAAGCGATTCGTCATTTAGATAATGGAGGAGCTGCAGTCGCCTCAGTCGTAATCACGCCTTAAAGCCAGACATTTATATCAAATTTCAAATATAGGAAAGGATTATGTATTGTTATCTAAAATAACTTGAAAGATTCCTTACGATGACGAGTCCATCGTAAGGAATCTTTCAAGCGATGCGCAGAAAGAGAAGATCATTGGCAAATTATACAAAATAATAATAAAAAGCATTTATTACGTCAAGACATAAAAAATACACAGTATAAAAGAAGACAACTGTTAGATACAAACAAAAATTAAAAGTGTAAGGATGTGTGCTATAATAACTGGCTTCAGCCTTGTGATTTTGTAAATATTTGTAAACATTCGAATTCACTTATGTGTCCGTATTCACGACATTTAGTGTAGAAATTCTATTGACTCCATTTTTTGTATAAAAATACAAAACAAAATTGATGGATATACGTGTTTCAGATATTATATTCCTATGCCTTTTCTAAACTAGCTTTACTTATGCCACGAATTAATTCAAGGTTGATCAGATGCCGCTTTTTGACGTAAATTCGGACTTCGAAATTCGAAATTGGGTTCGAATTTTTACAGAATCGCAGGACAGCTCAGTGTAAGCAATAGGTATCGCTCTTTGCACTGGTACTCTGCTAAAGATAGCAGTGAATATTAGATAATAAGCATTAGAAATCGCGTACACAAGGCTCAGACCCCAAATACCTAAGGTGTCAGAGGAGGATTGTATAATATGATTAAATAAAGAATGGTAAACTGGAAAATATTATTTATGGAAAATGTTTAATTTATGTGGATTTCTTGAGAAATCCTCATAAATTTCTTTCGGCTATTTGGGTCGATTGCCAGAACATTGATGAAAATTCACTCGTTAGTAGCGAAATAGTAATAAGTGTTTGAAAATTCATCAGTCCTGTTGGATCCTGGGTAGCTCGTTGGTTAGAGCAGTCACCCGGATTGTGAAAAGACGCGGGTTCGAGTCCCATCTCAGAGTGACAGGGGCTAGTGGAATGTTTAAGTTTTTGGTGGTAGAAAATGCCTATCATCTTTAGCTCATTATTTCGACCCCACTGCAGGGTCTGGCCCTCCTTATGGATAATTTCGTTAAGGAGCATGGGCCATGACCCTCCACGCTGGCCTAATGCGAAATGGCGGGT